AAAAAAAAAAAAAAAAAAACACATCTTAGTAAAACCAATACCTTCTCAGCTTCGCATCGAAGCTAAAAAATAATATTTTAGAAATATTCAAAACAAAAGCACTGTAAATTTCATTCATGTTTCTCATAAAAATTATTTCGTTAAAGTTCCTTAATTTTTTTTTGGAAGCGGTTCTTAGCTTCGTTCCTACAAAAATAACTAGTTTTGGGAATCCGTTCTTTTTGCAACGAATTTCTGCCCAATACTGTCCATTGTTTTATTTATAAAACCAGTTCAAATAATGAAATTGTAAATCGTAATTAATTCGAAATAATTGTTTAATTATTTCCATCCCTATTTTACAAATAAACATCTCTATAATAAGCTTGAGACTAAAAAATATAAAGAATTTTAATTTAAGTTATTTTACCTCTATTAGACATTTTATGTATATTAAATATTCTATAATTATTATTTATGAAATATTTTAAAATATATACATGAGTATATTTTTAAATAATAACTATGACTTATTAAACTAGAGAGCGCTACGTAGCATTGACCTAGCAATGTATTAAGCATTGCTTACTACACGGACTACAAATACAACAGATTGCAACTATGATCCCTTGTAGAAAACATTGAAGATGCCAAATCTACAGTGCTGGGTTGTTTGTTATTATACCAACTCTGTGGAAATATAATACGCTCGATAAATCCTTATCTCGTTTATTCCAAGCGCGAATAATCAGGATTTTATTTTTGTTGGTTATGAATGATTATATGGATTATTTTAGAATCACTATTCGTATTTCTATAATTTTATAATAAGAGAAATTACTGACTAGTAAAAATAACATAGAAATAGAANGTTGAGGATACTGACTAGTAAAAATAACATAGAAATAGAAATTTGAGCGTTATCAAATATAATGTGATGAATTGTTTTTATTCTTATTCTTGTCTGTCGCTTATTAATGTTAATAATTTTTGACTTAAATTCGGAAATTCATTTATGTATCTGATTAAACTTAATTGGTAGTATGAAGAGAAGGAATGGCGATTGCGGAAAATCTCGAAAGGCATTAAAAAGAAACAAATCTAGCGCCGAAGGGATTTATTGGAGGTACTTCTATTAGTTCATTAGTATATACATTAACATTGATTTTTGTTGAATTAATTGCAGTTTAATCCATTACTTAAAATTATTCGGCATTTGGTTTGTTTTGATACTACTCGATTATTTATTACACTTTCGATTTGAGTACGTTTGGCCGTTTTGGCTATTATTTCATAGAATATTAGAAGGATTTAAGCATCAAGGCTTTGTAAGTATAAGAAATTAAATTATATTATATTCACTCTTAAAATTATCAACATTGATAGTAATAGAGATGCTTCTAAGTTAATATTTAATGTATTATGTAATTTTGAAATAGTGAAATAGAATTTATATATAAATAATATTGCAATTTGGTACCTTGGATCATCATTTAAAAATATCTTTGTAATTTAGTATCTTAATATAATAATGTATAAAAATTTCTAATAATTTGAAGACATTACTAATATTGTAACATAATTAAAATTGAATAGTTATCAGAATTATTTCTATGTGACATTAGAATCATAGGTGTGTACAAGGACAGCAAAGGGTGCTTTTACTATCCCCCACTGATTGAATTAATCAAACTGGACCGGTTATAATATTAAATTAATAGAGAAAATAGAAAACTTCTTAGGATTTTATGATGAACTAATCCAAATTACTTTATACAACTTTTAAACTGGAAAAAATGAGTTTTTAAGTGTAAACCCATTGCAAGTTCCTTATATCCATAAGCATAATTAAATTATCATAAGTCAATTTTTTTTAAATTTTTTAAATTTGATTGTTTATTAAATGTATTTATTTAAAAAACTTTATTATGATTATAAATTCTAGAATCATAATTGTATTGCCCTTATAATATTCATATAATAAAGAAATAATATAATTTAATTCATTTAATTTATAAATTAAAAAAAAATTTTGTGTGTCTGTAAATATACAGGGGGTATAAGTAAAAAAACAGGTAAATTGTTACAAACAATAACAATAGAAACCCTTTTCCTTACTTAATAAACACTATATATATATATCAAGAAAAAAAGAATTATAGCTCTTTAACTTCTGTAATATTTCCTCATTATAAACTTTCTAAACTCGTATTGTTAGATATTTACATGAATACTATCAATAATAGTCATTGTATTACTATTATCAGTAAATTAGTAACTAGTTATTATTTGTACAAATCAGGATTAGGAACCGAAATGATTTCGGGTTTTCAAAATTTTTTACCATATCTAGTTAGTTAGTTGACCTAAATTTAATATTTTTCAAGAATTTGTTAAGTTAATTATTGTATTAATCAGAATTATTATGAAACCATTTTTAAAAACTTAACCAAATCCAATATTTGGCTGTGTAAAGTTTGAAACCAAATTTTATCAATACATATTTTTTCTGATTTTAATTTTATGAAGTCAAATTTTAGATTTTATTAAATTTTAAGTTCACTTAAGGTTTCAAAAGTGTCTCATAATATTTTTGGTTTCAGTAATTATTTTTTCATTATGTAATAATAAAAAAATTATAAATTTCCATTCAATCTGTTTTTTTGTATCTCATCAAATTTTTTATGAATTTTAGGTTTATACAGTTTTTTTTGTATGCATTGCATTGACTTCTGATATGGTATGCTTTTTCTTTATACCAGTACATTGGTTATTGTTTGCTGCAAGTACATACTTCTGGGTGCAATATATTTACCAAGCAGGTAAATAAAATATTTTTTGTGTTAAAAGAAGTCATTAAATATTAATAAAAAAATTGTTTTATTATATTAGAAAAGTGTGTCTCTTGGCCAGCAGTAGCTTTATTAGTTTTATATATTTATGTAGAAACAAGTGTTCGGTTGAACAATCCAGATCATATACCTTACAAATTGGTATTCTGTAAACCCTTGGCAGCTAATTGGTAAAATAAAGAGTACAATATTTCTTTTTAATTATCCAAATAATTGTATTACATATTATTATTTACAGCATTGGATACCCAGTAATCACTCTTTGTTTTGGTTTCAAAAGTTATCTAAGTCATAAATTGAAACAGGTATACACAAACATTATATTAGTTTTTTTGTAATAATAATCTAAAAAAATTAATATCTTATTTTAATAAGATACATCATAGTACAAATCTTCAAAGTGATTTGTATTTGAATGTATTTCTTATTATTAATGTGGCTATAAATTACTGTAATATAATTCTTTAAAATTTATTAAACATATTATTAAAAAATACTAAATATTTATGTAACTACAAAGCGTTAGTGTAGCCAAGTTAGAAACATAGCAGTGACTGATGGACATTATCTTGTATGCAAAATTTGGTTATGGGCTACTTTTTTTGCTAGGCAAAAGTTTAGTAATTGGATTCACCATCCCTCTCTCTGGCAATGCACTAACCATCTGTCCTGGAGTGTCTATGATTAAGAAACTTCTCTTCGGAGAAACAGTTAAGGGGCTTAATGGGCTGCAATAGCGTTTAAAATTTTTTTATGTAATTATTTTATGAATTTCTACAATTTCAATATAAATTTTAATTTGTTCAATAGAAACAACAGCAGAGGGTGTCTAAAGAAAATGAGTTCTATCAGAACTTATTATTGGATGCTTTGCCAATTGATAAAATAACTGGTTCCATTATACCTAGTCAAGAAAATAATGATGGAGGTAATATTTTTTTATAAATTTCACAATGAAAAATAATTATAAGTACTTAAAAATTATTTCATGTATTGTTATTTAAAAATGCTCATTTAGAAATGTGGTTAGAATCAATTTGTGAAGTACCTACTGATGAAAACGATGTACATAGTAACAAAATTATGTCTAATGGTAGTGTTCCATGTAAAAAGCCTGAAAAACAAGATACAGCATGTGCAGATGTATCTAATAAAAAATTAGTATCTAATGATAAATTAGTGTAAGTAGATATTTAAAATTAACCTAATTAATTAAATAATATACAATTAAAATAATTTTTAAAGAGGCAATGTTGGTCCAACATACAAACAAAATTAAAAATATATTATTTTTTTGATTGATTATTGTGTGTTATAGGTATAATAATCATGAAAATCATGTAATTAAAGAAACAGAAAAAAATAAAAGAGTCACTAGAATGTCTTCTGCTAAAAATAATAATCATATAAAATATAATAATCAAAATCCGAGTATAAAAGAACATTCAAAAAGTAAAGGTTCTTCACCACCAAGACTAGAAAGTTCCTTAATAATTGATCCAAAAGATATTTATTGTGAAACGTAATTATTTAATTTAATTAATATTAATATCATATCAGAATAAAAATATTTTTTTTATGTGTCTAGGCTAGAAAATGAGTTAAAAAGACTAAAAAGTGAATTACATACGTACACTCAATCTGAAAAAGATTTAAGAAATCAATTGAATGCGGCTTTAAGTGATTATACAAGTGTTTCACATGATTTGATAAGGTTGAAACAAGAACATGAAGATACAAAATCCAAGTAAAATCTCAATATTTTTTATACAATTATAAACAATTAATCTTGTTACTAATTTTCTATATTACTTTAGAAATTATGTAGCTCTTGTTAATATACTGTATTTTATTTTATTAAAAATTCATGAATATTTTCTTAAACATCCCAATTTAATATAATTGGTTGAGAAGTTGGAAAACTTGAATATAATATTTGTTGTTGTGATTTGTTCTAATATGTAGTAATTATATTATTAGTTTAATATGCAAAATTAAATCTATCAACTTGTCTTCCTATTATTCTACTAAGTCTATCTGGGCCAGTTTTTCTAGCTCATAAATAATACTTTTCAATACAATTCAATAGAAATCTTATTTAATATTAAATTGATTATTAAGTGTTAAAAATACCAAAGTTATTATTAAAATTATTTGAATTAGATCAAGAAAAAATTTGCCCATTTCTATTATTTAATAATAAACAATTCTGTTTTACTTTAGAGTTTTCAACTTATTAATGACACATCAAAATGATAAACAAATGGTTTCCCAACTCGAAAAACGTTTAGCTGATGAAAAACGTCAAAGGTTGTCATGTGAATCTCAACTTGTGTCAGAAAGACGACAATTAAAGAAAGTTGAAGAATTGGCTGCTTCTAGATTAAGTGCTCTCAATTCAAAGTGTGTACTATTATTATTTTACTAGAAAACTAGAATACAATAATGTAGAATTGTATAATATATATATACTTTATAAATAAATGTTGCAGACCGGAATGCACTGAAAGTTGTAAAACTAGACGAAGAGAGCTAGAAAATGAAGCAAAATCTTTACGTAAGGAATTGCGTTTAAAGGATGATCAATATTTAGCAATTCAAAAAGAAGTTAATGTATGGAAAATTATATTTATTAAGATAATTGATTAATTATATTTTTTTCTTTCTTAACATAGGAGCTTCAACCATACAAACAAAGTCAAGACAAGATTGATTTTGTCATGTCTGCATTGTCAACATTAAAAGACAAGAATGCTCACCTTGAACATAGTTTAAGTGCTGAGACACGTATTAAGCTTGATCTTTTTTCAGCATTGGGGGAAGCTAAAAGACAATTGGAAATCAAAATAAGTAATTATTTATCACTAAGAGAGAAAAATTACTGAATATTGCAATAATTTTCTTATGGAGTTTAGATAGAATTTCTTGTCAAGAAAAAGAAATTGAAGAGTTAAAATCTAAAATGGCTCAAACAATGGTAATGATGCCACCAAATGGTACATACCATATTGGAAACTCAGTTGGAAATTCTCCTACTATGCGGTTTGGTGGCAGTAGTTCTCCACAGTCAAGTTTAGATCCTAATGCTTCAATTTACACACCTAAAAAAAATTCACATTTAGTTACTGAAGCTTGAATTCAATAGTGAGTATTTTTAATTATATACTAATCAAATTTTTTTTTGTCACTGTCACATTTATTAATACATATGCATAAAAAAGTTATTAATATTTATGATAAATTTAAAATATTGTAGAATATTGCAATATCTTCAACATTATGCCTGATATCAAAAGATAAATAGGCAATCTATTTGTCAACTACAAAAAGCTTGATCACTATTTCTAAACGTACAGGGTTACCACAAATCTGTAAAACTAAGAAAGTTAGAGAATTTTTTTAGAGTACTAAAAATTTTGAAAAAATTATTTTACATTGTAATGCATTATATTTTAATTAAATTTTTTTGTGCATTGCCTCCTTTCTGAAAAATTTCTGGAAAGTCAAAAAATTTTAAAATTAAAAAATTGTGGCAACCCTGATTTACCAAGTCTGGGCTGGATTAAGCTATTTATTGGCCATGGACTCTAATTAAATAAAACATTTTTATTAGTTTTAATAGACATGGCAATCGAGAGTTTGAGCAAAAAAATATATATGTCCAAAGTAAGTTTGTAAGCCCCAAAGTACATATAATGCTTAATGGATTATATGGCCCTTGATATATTCATATACGTTTTATTAGTATCAGTTATTTTTTAAGTTGATGAAATGATATACAGTTAAAAATATATTTAATCTAATCATATACTGTAATTTCTGAGCTGTTTGACTTTTTGTCTGTTTATCAATAACAAAAAAATATTATTTGGCTTAAAACTTATGGCAATATTTGTATACTTAATTTTTTTTATATTAAATTAAGTAACATTGATTAAAAGACATAAGCAAAATTTGTGTGAAAATGGCTAAATTGGTATCAATATATTGTTAAATTTCTGAGATGAATTTATATTTGATTTAACATTTAGTATTTTATTACTGTTAAAACATTAAACAAAAGCATCATTTTATTCAAAGATGGGCAAGTTAATGGAAATAATTAACTCAAGTTAAGTATGAACAATAACGATAAATTAACAGTTAAAAGTTACCTAATTATAAATGATCTAGCTAAATTGAAATTTTTTTTAAACTGAACTAGTTAAAAAAATATATTTTATTTTTTTAGTTAAAATCTCTTATTATTTTTTATTGGTCAGTGGTGAGGCTAGACATTAAAGATAACAAACATTTTTTTATTCATTTTGCATATTTTGGTGTTGGTTGTACTGTTTTATCTTTAAAACTAGTTATTAAAAAAAAATCAGTTAAAAATCACGTATATTTTTTAAAAAAATATATTTATTATTAAGTAAATATAATTTTTAGGATAGGGGAAAATTTGATTTTTTTTGTTAATTAAACCTCGTTTGCATCAAATGTATGTATAAAGACATACATTTTTTATGAAATTTTAAATTTAGCTTAACTGTTATTTAACTAATTAACTGAAAAAAGCTATGTTATTTTCAATGTAAAATTGAATTAAGTTAAAAAGGTTATTAGAAAAATAATTAACAAGTTATGTAGTTAATGTCCACCATTGATTTAATTTATCATGACTTCAATACTGATATTTTCTAAAAATATGTTGACTAACTATGTTAAACCAAATAAATAAAAAAAAAAATCAATATTTTTATACATTATTTATTTACGTTATTATACATTGTATATGTAGTAATTTGATTAGCGATTAAAAAAAAGAAAATGTTGCTTACACTCTATTGAGTGTTGGTATATCAATTCAGAAATTACATAAACTTCTTCTGCAAATATTGTATTGAAAACCATTGATTTAACCCTAAAATTTTCCCAATTATAAAGCATATTTTATATAAATGTTCAAGTTGATACATTCTATATATATATATATATAGTTATATAAATTAAATAACTGAAACCAATATTATATTGATACATCTTTATAATGAAATTAGCACAAACATTTAATAAAATAAATTTGTTTGTTTTTTTAATTTAGATCTAACAATCAGAATCAGTAATTTTCATAAATTAACAACAAAACAGTTTCTTTTTTTTTCAATGTTATATTTTCATTAATTTAAATAATGTCAATATTAGTTTAAGTCATTAAATACATATTATGTAGTTATATAGTTTGACTGTTTATTTGTGTAATATTATTTTTTCTTATAAAAATGGTACAAAACAAGTAGATGAGCTTAAACTAATGATAAAATTTCTTTACTGTTAAATTATCTCTAAATTAAATTAACTTTTTCCTTAATGGTTAACATAAAATTGTTCTCCTTTCTTCATTTGTAATTGACCTTAAATTTTTTGACTGGTTAATTTAAAACTATTAATTTATTATAAATTGTTTTTCTCCTGTTAACTGCATATATTTTTTCAATTAACGCACAATTTCTTCAATAAATGAAATGAACAAATTAATATTAAGATATTACATGTTAAGTTAATTTTTTTTAATCATTAAAAAAAATTGTGTACATTTTTTTTTGTTCCTAATCCAGAGAAAATCAAAATTTCTCTCTTTGTATACATAAATTTGTAAAAGAAATTGTGATAATTTTTAGTTGATCTTAGTCCCTGCAAAATCAATTGTAAACTTTTTTTTAATAATTAGACATGAATCCCATTATTAGTAATTTAAATAACTAATGTTTTCGCATGCGTACTTAAATAATTCATTGTTTAATAATTTTTTTACTCTTCTGGGTATTCATTAAAAATTGTAGTATAATAAAACAAAAATGTATGGATTTTGTTAATAAAATAATACGTTTTTCAAAGTACATATTTTGAGATTTTTTTTTCAATTTTATTGTGTTTAAAAAACCAATAAGGATATTGATTTTCTTATTATTATTATTACAAATTATACAGGTTGTAAAAGTAAATAAAAAAACTAATTTACCTACATTCCAGTTATACAATTATTAATAGATATACATTCACTAGCTTAATTATGAGTACATAAGTATAATTCTATAAAGTTACAGGTGGAATGAGTAGAGAGTACTAAATAGCCGCAGTTTTTTTTAACTTTCTTTTTGCATTGTGCATTTATTTACAATTTAAGCTAATTTAATTAAGCACAGAAAAAAAAATTCAATTAAAAATCATACATTGAAAACTTATTATAATGTGCAATATAAAATGAAGAAAAATACAATTAAGGAACAGGAGTATCTACTTCAGGACTGCCAGCATCTGGTTCTTCATCATTGTAAATATTTTCAGCCATTTGCCATACCTATAAAAAATGATTTAAGTATAATTTTTTAAATAAAATAAGAGATTAATAAAAATAATTTAATTATAATTAGTATTCCATGACTATACTATTAAACAAATATCAAGAAATATTTTTTTTTTTGTATAAAGTTCAACAATTTATTGTTTTATTAATTCAAATTATTATCATATCTATAAATCTATCTATATCTAATAATCTATTCTATTTAATAGGACAAATGAGAAAATATGATTTGTAATACAATATTTATTGAAAAAAATCATATAAATATATGTAATTATATATCATAAACGAAATTTATGAAATGTTGTTAACAATTAAAAGATAAATTACTAGTTTTGATTTCAAATAAAATAAGTGTTAATGTGCAACTAAACAAATATTTCAACTGCTATAATACAATGTTAGATTTCATTGAGCCTTTTATTCTTCTAATGTATATTAATGTAGAAAAATAATAAAGAATTAAATGATTGACAAGGTAATTATAATTTATTAATTATTTTATATTTCAAATTTTGTAGCATAGCCTAATTAAAATTAAAAATTTTAAACAATTACCTGCATTATGTTATCTTCAGATACTGAACATATTACCCAAGGTTCATTAGGATTCCATGAAAAATCTGATATTTTAGCAGTATGTCCACCATGAATAAACTATAAAAGTAAAGAGAATATTTAAATATAATTATACAATACAATAATAATTGATAACTATTGTGTTTGTTTAAAAGAAACTGTTAAAATTGAAAAAAAAAATCGTCAAATTTTAGCTTTGATATGCAAAGTTAAAATACTGTATTATATTTTTTTGTGTTTCTGTCATCACTTTTTTCAGTTCTCACTGGTTAGTTTTTTTATCTATATATCAAAGATTACAATTTTTATCTAATTGAAAATATTACCCTCAAAAATGTTGAACCAATTACCTCATTCCCTGTTAATAAGAGCAATACAAAAAAGTTGCAACTTTTAAACTTTTTTTCCTTAAAACTTTTTTAAAACTAATAAAATAATTCTTTTTTTATAAATACTTAAGGTATTTTTCTTTATTAAGAATTATATAATCTGACCCGTTAAGTGACCATAGAGGGATTTAAAATAGCAATTTTTACAAGGAAAGTTAACCATTTAAATTTTTAAAAATATTCAAGGAATATTTCTAGCTATAAATATGTGTTAAATGAAATTTTGTTACATTTTATAAATTTATCCTGATACTTTATCTTCCATATGCAAATGGCACCGTACTTAAAAAACCATGTTATTTTTGAGTTAAAATTTTCAACTTTGAATTGCTATATCTTTTTGAAAAATATATAGATTATTACAATTTATTTTTGAAGTACTTTATAAATATCTCTTTAATCTGATATGTTTCTTTTGAAAATCTGACGATTATCCCTAATATAAGGGGGTGTTCAAAACTTAAAACATACACATAAAAAGTAAAATATTTTCATCTATATTTTTTAAAATGTTGAATTAAACACATGTTAATATGTGTTATACATAAATTAATATATGTTATATACAATAAGTTTAAAAAATAATTTTTCCTGATAACTTTGTCTTCAATATGTAAACAACAAACAATCCCTCGAAAATTAAAAAAAAAATGTTATTTTTTGTTATAATATTCACATTTGGAAGTATAATATAGAAAAGTACTATCACAAAAATTGTATTAAGTGCCAAATTAATTATTTTTATTAACATAACAATATCATACAAATGCATTGTAATTTTAACATGTATGTTTTTATGTAATTTTTAAGTTGTGTATCGATTAATTGTGGCAGCCACATTAAATAAATAATGTGTTGCCACACTTTAACACACCACGTAACAATCCAAATTTTATTGATATTTAGGCATGCGTCAAAAATTCTTCAGTTAACTGCTCACAAGCAGTTGGGACAACAGAACTACTTGCCGCAAGAGGTTGCCACACCCTAAATAAAAATTGATATCTATATTGACTCATGCGGCAAATGAACAGTCTGCTGTAAACAAACATGACACACTTGGCTGCCACTCATAATCAATACACATTTTTATCTAAGTCATGATTACAGTGAATAATTTAATGATAGAGACAAAACAGTCTCAAAAGGCTAAGGTAGCAGCAGCACAGAGTAGTTAGTTTAGTTTTAGTTATTTGTGGACATAGTCACAGTTTAAAAACTCAACTAAGAAAGGTTATGAAAACTAAATTTTCTTTTCTCTTTATATAATTTTTCCATAAGAATTGCAACACTAAATTTTTGAATATCAATTTTATACTAAATTTAATTATTATAATAATTATATACATTATACTTATAAATAATAAAACTTTTAATCAGGATATAACTTAAGAAATAGGAGTTGATGTTGTTTTAGGAATAATAAAAAAATTCCTTTTAAAAATTGAACACAAATATTCGAGTGAAAATTTAAAGTATAGAAAATTGTAAAAATACAAATATAACAGATTTGCATAAAAATATATTATGATATTGATTTTAATCACTGACAGATATCTAACTTGTCCTTACTGTGCCACGTTCCTCTATGCTGTTTCTATTTGTTAGTATTATCAATATTTAATACAGAGGTATGAAAAACTTTTCTATATTTTTTCCATAGAGTACACAATGATACATTACAAAGAGATATATTATTATTAAATTAAATTGTATTCAACATTCTTTCTAAAAGCTATCACTTATGCAAGTGAGAATGGGATAACCTACATAATTCAAGGCACTGGAATCAAATTTATACTTGCATATCAAAACATGACAAGTTACTACCCAAGCTTGATAGGCCGCCTAGTCTACCTTACTAATATTTTAATATATTATTGTCAATTATATTTATAACTTAATAACTTACCAATAATTCTGGAGGGCCATCATCAGCATCTTCAGGTGATTGTTCTTCACCAATTTTACTTAAATCCCATACATGTAAACGCCTATCAGTTCCACTAGATGCTAATATAGTTTCATTATGAGGAGACCACTGAACTTGGAATATTTCATCTTTATGCGATTCAAATGAATGTAATTTCAATTTTAGATTTCTTAAGTCCCATAAAGCTACAGTCTAAGAAAAAATGTATTTTATCTTATAATCGTCTAATATTAATTTTTTTTTTTTAGTTTATTTTACTTTATCAGCACTTCCAGTAGCCAAAATAAATTCAGAGTATGGATTGAATGATAAACAGTTAACTTCTGCAGTATGAGCATCCACTGTATGTGAAGGTTTGCTTGTATTATTAGCTCGAGTATCCCAAATCATTAGTTTTTGGTCATCAGCAACAGAGCCAAATAATGATTCATGTAATAAATGCCAGGCTACATCCTAGATTAAATTATTTGAAAATATTATAAGTATAATTATATAATAAATATTTCAGCTATTAATACTTCAACAACAGCTGTATGGCCTGTAAAGATAGTTTTAGCTTCTACTACTCTATGTTCTTTGGGAGTAGCATTAATATCCCATAAACAAATTGTATGATCATCAGAAGCACTTAACAAATAACCATTTAAATTAGGGTTCCATGATAGACCATAACCTTCTTTTTGATGACCACGGAGCCTATAAATAATTTATAATATTGTTCAATATTAATTATGTATTAAATTTGGAATTTATAACAAACCTTAAATCTGGTTGACATTCACCATTTGGATCCGGTTTAGATGGATGTTTAGTATAGTCAAACACAAGTACATCACTTGATGGTGTTTTAGTAGCGATAACACATGGATTTTGAGGCATGTATCGAGCACGATTAACTTCACCTTCATGATTTATTTTGATTTCTATTTCAATTTTACCACTAACAGAACCAAAACCTCCATATTCTAAACAATTATTAGGTATAAAAGTACTAGTACTAAACAATTTATTACATTAATACCTTGTTTTTCTCCATCATAATGAGAAGAATCAAACTGAGCATCTTCATTAGGTAATTGTACGCTGGCTATAAGTAAATGATTCTGCTCATCAGAAGTATGAGTGCCCAAAATTAATCGATGAATAGAATACTCTTTACCTTCAGGTCTATGATATTAAACAAGTTATAAAAAATTAATCATCAAAAAAAAAAGTTGACAACTATTAATTGTTTACAATATTAAAGTTATAACAAACTCACATAAATTATTAACTAGAAATATATTAAATATTTTAATTATATCAAAATATTAAAAATATTGAACATTCTTGATTAGAAGATAGTTATTAACATAATATGAATATGTATAAATAAGAAATATTAATTAAAAAACTTGAAATGTTGTCAAAACTTTTATCTTAATTAATTACCGAGTAACATCCGGAAGCCATTGGGCAGTCAATGATGGCCATTCTAAAGCATGTGTCATGACCAAATCATATAAGAATGGAGTGTTCTTTTTCCATATTTTATATTCTTCATTTATAACACGTTCTTCAACTGCTTCATCAAAGGTATCTAAACACAGATAAGTCATTTAACAAAAATTACCTTTTCATATTTCATATTGTAAAAATTAATTTTACTAATATATTGTAAAGAATAACTTACCACCTTCCTTATCGCCCATAGCTGATTGAATATGGAAAGTATTAGGAAAGAAAAATTTTTAAGTTGTAAAATACGATTGTTCACAAACAAATCAACAGCAACCCAACTACGTGAATTTTGATTTTTAAAAAGACTAATCGATGTAAAAAAAAATGTCAAAAGGAAAACACAATAAATTGCGCCAAAAAACACGAAAATAAAGAGAGGTGATAATCAAAAAACGACAAATGGAAGTTGAAAAAGGATGGTAAATTTGTAAATCACAAGAGGCGGCGGTTTTTGCAGTGTATCCTTTTATATATATTTTTTGTATTGTACTACGAACGATATTTCTCAAAATTATAAAATAACGAATATCAGTTCATACTAGTGATGTTTGTTTATTAACATAATATATTTTATTATCACAAAAATTGATAAGAGTAATACGTGAATTACAATGAGTTTAATTCATTTTAATTCATTTAATCATTTATACTTTACATTTCTTGGTCATTAAAGATTCCACAATAACGTATTTGTTTAACCGAACGAGCATTATTTATCAAAAGAATGACCCTGAATCTCTGTAAATTAAATTTAGTAATGTGCTTATAATGTGTTTAATTATATTCAGCAGTAAGTTTGTTAACTAATAAATTTAAGTTACAATCTAGATGTTCATTTGGTAGTATTAATATTAATTACAGAAAAATTGTAATTATTGTTTACAATGGAAGATAGCCAAACAATAATTGTAAATAATGATCATAATGTTGAACGAGCTCACAATAGCTCAACTACAGAAGCTTCAAGTACAGCCAGTGATTCACCAACCCCAACAAATAGTGTTCAAGATAAGAATTGGACACAATGGCGTGGGCCTGGTAATATAAGAAAAATTTTAGTTAGATGATATTTCAGTACATTAAGATATTTAACTGCATTGATCACAAATATATATATCCTTTTTTATGTGTATTTTAAGTTTTAATTAAAACTTATGTGTAAAAATGTTTGTTTATGTTTTCAAATTTTATAAAATTTTAAATATTTTTAGTGTGGGGTGATGAACAACTCCAATTATTAGGCACAGAAGAAGAAGCAGACTCGTCTGATTGTGAAACAGTTTCAACAGCTAATTATGTTGGAGTGTGGAGTATGAATGAAGAACAAAGTAAATACTATGAAGAACAGTTTGCCTCATTACAACCTAATCCAAAAGCTGTTTTAGCTGGTTCAGTTGCTAGGAGTTTTTTTGAAAAATCTCGTTTACCATTACATGAGCTTAAAGAAATTTGGTAACACACTGAAAATTAATTCTTGAAAAATTATTCACAATAATTTAATTTTGTTTAGGCAATTATCAGATGTAACAAAAGATGGTGCACTATCATTAAGTGAATTCAAATTAGCCATGCATTTAGTAGTACTTAGGCGTAATAACATTCCTCTTCCAAAGAAATTACCTCCTTCATTATTACCATCTCTTTCCTCTCCAATAAAAAATGATGTAGCAACTACAAATATTGTTTCACCAACAAATAGCATCAAAAGTAAAGAGGTAAAATAATTTTAATTTTTATTATTTTGACTACTTTTTTATTTAAAATAAATCTTTACTAAAATATTTGTTTAAATATAAAGTGTTAAAAAAATTTTTCTTTTACAATATTGATTGTAAATGTAAATATTAAATTATAGATATTAACACATTTGTCATGTGTATAACTTATAATAAAAAATTGAGGTTATTTTCATATATTTCTTATTATTTGTGTTAATTTTCTGGTTTTATGGAGTAGCTTAGATAATTTAAATTATAAAACAGTACTATAAACAAAGAGTATATTATGTGTGTGCCCTTTATCACCTGAAATCAAATTTTATAAATAGTAATGTTTATCAATTATTAACTTAAATGTTTTGTATTTATTTTGATTAGTGGACAAAGTTTGTGGATTCTCCTACAAGCTCTTTATCATCACCTGGACCAAAACCTGTGAATTTTGACTTTCAAAAATCTTCAGTTGAACAAGTAAATATAAATAAAAAACAACTAATCATAATAAATTTTTAATACTAATTTTAAGTTTTCTATTATATTTATGTTATTGCGCAATTTTTAAAATGATTTACTTGGTGTTACATTTTGTATGAGATTTCTTTATTTATATATTGACTTTTATATTTATTTGAAAATTTTTTTTTATAAATTATATTTATATTGTAAATTTTTAGTCATCTTTGGAGGTTTTATATACAAGGTTCTTTAATAACTTATAGCTCAGGAAATATTTACCATTACTTTTTTTTTTTTTAATTTTTACAGCTTTGGACTACATATACAGGATATTTTTTATTCTTTGTTTTCAATATAAAAAAAAAAAATTGAAATTAAATTTTTATTATTTTTAAATTTTGAAATTGCTATTTTTAGTAATTTTTTTCTAAAAAAATGTTACGGTTTAATACCAATTTTAGGATAAGTACATTAAATTATAAGCACTTAGATACTTAATACTTAGAGTGGGTATGTAGTGCAAAAAGAGTATATACAACAATACAAGCTGTACTCGCCCATGCTAAATACCCACTATATGTATTAAAATAATTGCAACTTAATAAGTGCCTTAAATTGTTATCGACCCATCAAAATTTTTTGTAAGAAAATGTCTATTTTAAGATATATCCCAAAACTATAAAAATAATTTAAAAAAAAAATAGTAACGTTAAATATTTGCTGGATCAAAAGTTAATAAATTTTTCAGAGGACACCTGTATATTATTATTACTCTATATTTAATATCTTCTCTTACAAGCTATGTTTGTAGTAGAAGATATAACAAGTAATTAATTTTTAGTAAAGTTTTACTTAACATATGGAGTAATTTATAAAAAATTATAATTTTTTTCACTGAATATCAAAATAAATCTGAAAATATTTCGCTGAACTTTTGGTGATGCATAATTTTTTTAATAGTATGTCACTATTGTACTAATTTTAAAAATAAGTACATTATATTATTTCTCAAATCTCATTAATATTTTGTAGCTTGTTGCAAAAACATGATTTTTTAATTCTGACATTTTAAACATCACAATGTGATCTGTAGCTAGACAAATATAAGTTCTGATTGTTTAATTGTCACATTTTTTATGTAGCCATATTTTATTCTACTTTATGTGAACATTTCTTATTCAGGATCCCAAAATTTTGCATCCAGTCGCTTTAAGAGTTACTCCTGGTATTGACAGTTGTGTTGAAAACCAAGAAGTAGAGTTGCAGTCTATGAATAATGAGGAAATGTTGTTAATTAAATCTATTCAAAGACCACAAGCCAAAAAACCAAGCCGTATGTTTTTTTATAATAACACATTAAACAATCAAAATAATTTACATTGGTTTTTCCAATGTAATCATATAATTTTTTTTATTTATTAAATAATTAAAGTATTTATTGTTTATGTAAAGATAGGTAATATCAATAATTTTTTAATTTTCTATAACTCTTATTATATAACAATTTATACATATTTCTTTTCTAAGGAGATTGCTTTAAGTCAATATTAAATCATTATATATTCTTAAATCTATCAATCTTCTTCAAAATTAGTAAAATTTGATGAAAAAAAATATTGGTGTAGGTTTATTTAATAGAATATCTTTAATTATATTATACGAAATAGTTTTCATATTATAACTTCCTGTGATGGTTTTGAGTACATAGCCTACATTATTTTATTCATGCTGATCAACTTCTTTTCTATTTTAGAACAAAAATTAAACAATTGCTGGTGTTATAGTGAACAAATAAAGCATTTTAAAATACAAATAATAATTAAATATTTATATAAAAATAGATAATTCATAGGCATAAATGAATAAATTATAAAATTATCACTATAATTTAAATTTCAATATTTTATTGATCTAACAGATCAATGTGTTCTTGTGTTCTATAATTTAATGTTAGTGTAGTAAGAAATATTAACCCAGTGTTTAATCTAGTTACACTATTTATTCTTGTACTAGTATATTATTTAATCTATTAATGTGTTGCAGATATTGGTCCAGGAGCAATACCTCCTCCTCCTTTGCCTACTTTTTGCGGTGATGATATGTATGTTAATTAAATATGTTGTCTTCTATCTAGAAAATTTGATTTACTTTATTATTTTACACAGAAACACAGGACCTGCTAGTTTACCAGTGATAGCAGCAAAAAAAGAACCTCCTCCTCCACCACCACCACGACCACACCGAGCACATATACGTAGTTCCTCTCTTGATCTCAATAAATTTGGTAGTTTTACAATTATTTATTATTAAAAAGTGTTTCAATTTAAATATTATTCAAATTAAATTCAGGAAAAATTGGAGCAGTTAATCATACTCAAGAACCACCAGTTGTCCCGCCTAGAATAACTCCTAGTCCAGTGAGTAATATGGATTAAATTATAATTAATTGCTTATAAATTTATCATTTTAATCAAGTTTTTTATATAATATTATTACTTTTTAGAACACAAATAGTGAAATAAATGGATTAAGACAAAAAAATGATAAAACAGATTCTGGCCAATTTGCTGACTTTGCTCAGTGTCCTGGAGCTTTTCAAGTTTATAAAAAGCCACGTAAGCTATATAACTCTTATAATAGTTCTTATTTTAGAACATGACTATTATAAAAGTATTAAATTTATTTGTGATTTATTTAAAAACTTTTGTAGTTTCTGAATTTCAAAGTAATGATAATTCATCTACAAATGGATTGGAAGTCTTAGGTTCTCGGACTTTGGAAAATAATATGTTTAACAAGTAATAAATAATATTTATGTCATATAGGTCTATGCATGGTGTTCAAATGTAGAAAAAAGGGTTTCCATTGTACTCAACAGTTTAACGGTTTCATTATTTATTGAACACTCCTTATATTTAGTGTTGAATACAGATATATTTTCTAATATGGGTACCCAAAAACAAATGTTTATGTAGGGTAATGGTAAAATTACCTAGTAGATGGTTATTTAACAATTTAATGCTAATTTTTATGAATTATTATCTGAAATTTTTTGTTAAATTTAAGATAGTAAAAGATAGCATTTATGATAAAAATTAAAAAAAAAAAGCAAATTTATAACCCCTATCATACTTCTTTAGAAAACATATAGTTATCCGTATTTACTGGATCTCTGACATAAACAGATTAATTAGATTGTATTATATTACTAAATATTTCATTTACTGTAGGTTAGAAGAGAGAAATGCACATTTGCGTTTAGTTTGTCAAGAACTACAACAGCAGTTGAACGACCTACGAGAAGAACGTGCTGGATTACAATTACTTTTAGATACAGCTCATAAATCATCACCTCCCTCTTATTAACTGGGTATTTTTATTGCTAGTTAACTGTCAACACAACTTTCTTTGAGTAATTATTAAGATAATTTTCTAATTAAATATGTAATGTAACACCCATCAAAATATTTTTTCATATCATTAAAGATACTCGTTTTATTTATTATTATTGATATTTTATTGTTAAATATTACAAAATATTATTATTTATCAGAATTTGTTGATTGATGTTTACAACATTCAACTATATTTAATTATTTTTATTTTACCATTTCCATTCTATAATATTAGAATTAAAATTGCTGTTGAGTTTTAAATGTGATAGACAAAATTTCTCTATTTTATTTAAAATAGTATTTTATTATTAAATTAAGTTTATCATATAAAATTTTGATTAATTTTATCTTATACCTTAGCAAATATTTAGGGTGTCCAAGTATACTGTTTCTATAAATTTATAATAAAATTGATAAATTGTTATATGAGAGAACCATGAGCTATTATAAAAATAAGAATGGATTTTTAAAAATGAAATTCTCAAAAGTCAATTTATGAAAATAGAATAGGTTAAATTTTTAACAATTGATGCATATGGATTTTCAGAAAAAATGTCTGAAAATTTTTTTTTAATTAAATTTTTCAAACTTTATTATAATAAACTCGAATTTCAAAAAAAAAAAAAAAAATGATTATTTTAATATATTTACTCTTTGGTATAACTGATTCAGTTATATAAGTGGTTAATAAGGTAAAATTATTTTTAAATAGCTGTTAAAATTGTATTACATATTTTTATCAATGTAAAATAAATTTAAAATGTTATTATATATAACTCGCTATTTAACAACATTAAAAAACGTAAGCATATCAATCAATATTAATTAACAAAAATAGTACCATATAATAAAATGAGATAAACATTATATTTTAAATAATATAAGCTATATTTTTAAGTAGTGTAATAAAACTTAAGGGTAAAAGGATAAAAATGTATATAAAAGTTTTATTTTCGTATTATAAATAGTTGCAAAACAATGATTACTGGAAAATAGTTAATAAAATTGTTATTATATTATATTTTATTGGTTTTATTAGACAAAAGTAGTAAATTTAAAATATGTTCATAGGCGTCTACAAGGGAAACAAAGGAGGCAGTTTCATCCCTTGACTGCTTGGTTAATGTTCATAATTGTTGTGTATTGTAATGTTTTGCAAAATAATTTTGTTTTTTCAATTAAAACAAAAAAATTTTATTTTTATTAAATTATATTATGAATTCCAAAATTAAGAGCATCATTTTTATAGATTAAAATGACATGTATGTTTATTTTTTATTTATTTATTTTAGAGACACTTAATTTTATTAATTTATAACTACCAAAAAATCTATAATTTATCTTTTTTTTTTTTGAAATGTCAATGACAATTATTAAAATAACATTTTTGAGGATACTAATTGTATTTTCATTCTACGCTAATAAACACTANAAAATAACATTTTTGAGGATACTAATTGTATTTTCATTCTACGCTAATAAACACTATATATGTATATGACAATTATTGGGGAGCTAATTTGTTAACTGAGGCAGTTCAGATCCTTATTGCTCGATGGATGTCCAATAGAACGCAGTTCATCACTCACTTCAACACTGGGTCTGCTAAGTGTACAGTGAAACCTAAATATTTAAAATAATATATTTTATTTCCCCTTCACAATAAAAAAATTCGGCAGATGCCTTTGAACATATTAGTTACTAATCATTATCATTTAAATAATTTTCCGAAGATATTTAAAACTATTTTATGTAGATAACCCCTAATAATTTCTTGGAAATTGGAATCGTTGCAAGGCCGACGATAAAAACTTTTTTAGGGGATGAGGTGGAAATATTTCCGATTAAAATAACAATTTTTAAGATTATAAAAATTTACATATAATTATATTATATTATATCATTCTTATATTCACATATGAGAATTTTTTTGGAATGTCATGCTTTGGTTAAGATATATGGTGTTCAAATTACTAATTATCAATTTAAAATCTTCTTAATTCAATTTTTAAAAGGTAAATTGATTAGTAAATTTAAAATTATAATACTATCACTATGTAATTAACAAAAAATGTATACATTTTAGATTTAATTTTTGTATGTCAATTGACATATAAAAATTAGTGAACGCTTTTCATAGACATCGAAAAAATCTTTGTAAAATATTAATTTGAAAGTATTATTATTATTTTCTGTACTCGGTATTATTTCATAAAAAATTGAATACAGATGAAGGATCGATACAAATGACGGATTTTCCATAAAATAAAATAAAACCACATAGCCATATTTTTGGTGATTTTCTCATATTAACTTATTGAAAAAACGCTTATTTTTAAATATTTGTATTATACATTAATTAAAAAAATACCTAACCAGTTATTTAAAATATTCAGAATTCTTAGATGCATATATAAAATAAAGGTATTTTTATAGTTATTTTCAAATTGCTCATTTGGCTACCACTCTGTTTATGGTTATAGAGCTATTACAGGCTCACACCACCCTAGTTTAATATATTCCAAGGGTTGTCTAGGCAACTAGTGTTTATAAAAAAATGTTTTGCATTTAGTATCACTAATGTCATTAAACATTTGTGAGTAATGGCTACAAGCTATCTTTTTATTATAAATTTATTATAATGGGATGTTTTTTCTGTAAGACGAAAACTTTCAAAGAACCAAATAAAAAAATGTATTCATGGTAAGTCAATGTTCAATTCATAGAAGAATTTATGTGCAATTTTATTTTTAGGACGGAGCGAAAGCATTTGAATCCAACAGATTACATTATTGAAAATTTATCCGGAGGCACTGTTTGTAAGCCACCTGGTTCGATAGGAGGCCAACAATTTGTTATACGTAATTGTGAAGACACTAATGTATTTTTACTAGATCATTCAGATTCAATAATTGTTGACGACTGTCAAGGATGTACTCTTATACTAGGTCCAACAAAGCAGAGGTTTACAAGAATATTAAGAGTGTATAAATAATTATTTTAGAAATTAAATCATTTTTTAGTGTATTTATTCGGGATACCAGCAATATAAATGTAATTGTCGCCTGTGGACAATTTAGAGTGCGAGATTGCTCATCATTGAAAGTATCATTATTTTGTTCAACCCAGCCAATTATAGAGTCCAGTCATGAAATGAATTTTAGCTGTTACCAGTTATTTTATAATCAATTAGATGGTAAATTTATTGTTAAATTAAAATTGGATGCGTTAGGCAAGAGTTTGGTTGTGTTCAATATTATTGTGCATAAAAGTAATATATGAAACTACCTAACTTGTTCCTAAACACAATATTGAGATAAAGCTATCACAATCTAGATTAGAAAGATTTTTTTGGAGGTCGCATTTTTCAAAACATCCAGGCCTGGATTATACCTATTTGGGGCACCGAGACAAATTTTTTAATTTGAAAAAAAGTTTTCATACAAACTAAACAATGTTTTTATTGTTTGTTTAATACAAATAAAAATTGCAGGTGATACACACATTAATAATATTAATATAAATAACAATTTTTTAAAGTTATTTTACTAATTAGGTGGAATACAGAACTAAATTATTAGCTTCGATGCGAAGCTGAGAAGGTTTTGGTTTTACTATGATGTGTTTTTTTTTTTTTTTTGTGTCTGTTACCACTTTTTCTCAGCTCTCACCGAACGGATTTCTTTCAACGATACGTCAATAGATCACAAATAGTATCTAGTCGATGACATTACCCTTCAAAATTGAAAAAATTTCCCTCGTTCCCCGTAAATGGGGGAAACCTCCAAAAAAATTACAAATTTAAAAATCGCTAATTTTCGAAATTTTTTCAATTTTTTTTACTAAAAACTGCCGTAACTTTTTCAAAAATGAACGTATGAATAAAATTTTTTTTTATAGATGCTTGATGTCTTTACCTATCATTTGGTATATTTTTTTTGTAAATTTGACCTTTTTTCTGCCCACAGGGGGGGATTTAAAATGACAACTTTTTCACAAAAAATTAACTTTTTCAACTTAACTTTTGAAGTGTTCCGGAAGGTCTGACACTTTTATATATATCTTAAATTAAAACTAATGTAATATACTTTAATTTGAAAAAAAAAATTTGATCTCTGGACTTGTCTTCGTGGTGAAAGTTGACATCAAAGTTAATAAAAAATTACGATTTTTGTAAAATAATTTTTTTTTAATTTTTAACTTAATAATTTAATAATTGTGACTGTTGCCACTTTTTCTCAGCTCTCACCGAACCGATTTTTTTTAATGATACGTCAAAAGATCACAAATCGTATCTAGTCGAAGACATTACCCTCAAAAATTGAAAAAATTTCCCTCGTTTCCCCTAAATGGGGGAAATCTTCAAAAAAAATTACAAATTTAAAAATCGCTAATTTTCGAAATTTTTTCAATTTTTTTTACTTAAAACTGCCATAACTTTTTCAAAAATGCACAAATTAATATAATTTTTTTTTATATAAATGCATAATCTTTACCTACCATTTGATGTATTTTTTTTTATAAATTTCACTCTTTACCTGCCCACAGGGAGGGATTCAAAATGACAACTTTTTCACAAAAAATTAACTTTTGAAAGTGTTCCGGAAATACTGACACTTTTATATATATCTTAAATTAAAGCTAATATAATTATGGAAAAAAAAATTTCGAACTTTATTTTGTCTTCATGGTGAAAATGGCTACCAAATGCTATTTTCGTCTGAAAATTCTCAGTTTTTTTTTTTATATTTTTAACTTTATAATGCTATAACTTATTGAAAAGTGTATGGATCAACACAATTTTTTTTATGAGAAATAATATTTTTTAATAAACCCTTTTTCATTCGACATACTTTATCTTAATCGAGATATTAATAAGGAACCAGCAGATCAAGTAGCTTTTGGAATAAAACACCAATTTTTTTAAAATTAAACACTATCTAAAGATTTGCATCGAAGCGTTTATTTTTGATAGTGATTTTAATCACTGTCAGATATCATTATACTTGATCCAACTATACCACGTCACCACTGTGCCGCGACCCCCCTGTGCTGGGTTTTTTTTTTTATTTTTATAATGCTATAACATATTGAAAAGTGTATGGATCAACATAATTTTTTTATGAGAAATAATATTTTTTAATAATCCCTTTTTCATTCGACATACTTTATCTTAATCAGGATTTTAATAAGGAACGAGCAGATCATGTAGCTTTTGGAATAATCCACCAATTTTTTAAAATTATCTAAATTATCTAAAGATTTGCATCGAAGCTTTTTTTTTTTATATTGATTTTAATCACTGTCAGATATAATTATACTTGATCCAACTATGTTACGTCACCACTGTGCCGCCACCCCCCTGTGTTGGGTTTTTTTCTTTGTAGGAACCTATTTCTCGCTGGCATTTTTTTCCACCTGTTTATCTGGGCCTGAAAATCTCCATTCATAATTAATTGTGTAATGTAGGCTGAGATTCAGATTTATTCAAGTCCTTCTTTAAACCAAGTATGGTTTTTGAAGGTGGTTTTTTAAAATAATTTAGTCGATAAGTATAATAAAATAAATAAATACACCACTACTTAACAAATAGAGCTTGTGGTTTAATTTGAATCATTATTTTTTTTAACGCTTCATAAGTCCATTTAGAGCTGCAGCGTCCTCCCCCAAAGAAGGAGATTTCTTAACTTTAATACTCCTGGGTGGGTTGTTAATTTGTCACCGGAAAGAAGGATGGCGATTCCAATAACGGAACTGATCTTTCGCTTGGCAAATGAAGCCACCTTTGACCTAGTTTCGAACCCGAGGCAGTGCGTGTCAAGCATTACCGCAATACCGACTAGGCCAAATCATCTTTCTTAATTTTAATTAATATTTTTATATTGCCAAATTAGATCATTTCAAAAGAGCTAATCTAAATATATGGAATAACTATTGGAGGATGATTTTTGATTATACATGGAATGAAGGAAACAATTGGACAGTCAGTGATATTCCTATTAGTGTGAAATTTCCAGAAGAGTTAATTTGCAAGTAGGTTAACTTAAAATGATTAAGTAATTATCTTGCGATTTTTTATGACGATGGAGGCTTTAAACGAACTTTTTTGTTAATGCCAAATATAATTCGTATAGAATCTTGATAATATCTTTCTATTAATATGAATGATATTGATGTTGAGTGATTTTAATAGTTGTATAATTTAGTTTTTAATAGTATGTCTAATAGTTCATTTTGAAAAATTTATTGCTACGATAATACGCTTCCTTATCATCCAGAGTTGTCCTAAAGTCAAAATTTGAGGAGGGGATGAAACATTTTTTGTTGAAGAAATATTTTTTTTAATTTTTATTTTTGTAGCATCTTTATATAATTAAATATTGCTGACTTATAGAATATTGTTTAGTGAAGGCTCTCATATTATTTACTTGAGACAACTATATAACCATTGATATTATACTTTTTGACAATTCATTAAAAAAATTTAGAAGTATTTATATGTTACACATTTTTTATGCTTTCACCTCTTTAGGTTAAAGTCAATATTACTTTTTGTATCCTTTTTATTTTTTTTTTGTGATATGATTTTAATTTTGTATGGCTGTTAGGGAAAGCCTTAAATATTTTAACTTCCTAAACACGTCATTGAGTATTTATGAATTTTAATTAAAATGTTTCGATTAAAACTACAAAAAAAAAAAAAAGCAATACTATTAATATTTTCTCAGCTATGTATTGAGACTAACAAAAATTTTAATAAAATTAATTTTTTTATACTAAGGTATGGCATTACATGTGAATCATACAGATCAACTGTACCACTTACAAGATGCGAAGTAACTAGCGGAGAGAACTGTTTTATTGCATTTGATCATAGTAACGAAGCGCTACGATTTGTTCAAGCTTTAAAATCACATGTAATTTAACTGTTATAGTTTATCTAATGAATTTAAGCATTATAATTTTAATGCTATATATGCTACAGGAAACAAACTTAGAATTAATTAAATGCAAGTATTGGAATGGAAATGATGCTAAGGAATTTCAAAAGCAAAATAACTTATTTAATAATAGAATAAAAGACGTTTTTATAGGTGTACATATTCAAGGAAAATATGCTACAAGCAAATGTTCTGCAGTAAGTATGAATTACATGAAAAAATTTAATAAAATTAAGTGAAAGATGCATTTATTTATTTTTTAATATGTACTATATGTTATAGATATTACAAAATGATTTTCCTCAATTTTCTTCATACATTAGCAAATCTGAACAAGAAACAGAGAGAATAATAAACAATTTTTTTGTTTTGGCCGATAATGAGTTTTAATATATTTTTATATTTACAAGTACTTTAGTATGATGCTTATACATTAGGGTGGTTCTTAAAATTAATGTAGTAAAATTTAAAAATTATACAATCTCAATTAGTTCCAATACTTATAAAAATGAGGTACGCAATGTTTCAGGTAAATTAGAAAAGATTAACCTGTGCCACAAAAGGCCTAAAGTTTGAAAACTCAAAAATTTTGGATAACCGTTCATTTTTCATTGTTTTTTTAGTTCAGCACGTGAAATAATGTATTCACAACAAAATTGTAAGAACAAAAGTTGTTTAAAATAATATTTTACACAAATTATATTCTGAACAATTTTTTGATTTACATATTGTATATATGAAAAATCAATATATATAATTTTGTTGTTAAAAACTCACAAAATAAAGTGAATGTTCGTTGTAGTTTTTCAACTCGTGGTAATTTTCGTAATTCATCATAACAGAAATGTATAATCTTGAATAAACTATTATCAAACCATCAAGTCACAATTTATTACAAGAATGACTTAAAGGACGATAAAGTCTTAATCAAAACACATTACTAAAATTTGTCCTAACTATACATTTTTCAGGTTATTGTTTTCATTAGTTCTATTGTGTCCGTATGATCATTTTTAGATCGTATACATTTAGTGTTTATAATAATTTTGATATTTTAACAATTTTTGAATACATATTAAAATGGCTTCACGGAAAACTTTACGAAAAGATACATTTATATTTTTGATTGGTTTCCCGTCAAACCAAATTATTGGTAGTAAATTGCCGTCAATAAGACAAGTACTATCGGTTTTTTTTTTTAACATTTGTTTGACATTGCTCAAGTTGATGCCCTTAATTTAATGTCATTACAAGAAGATAGAGATTTTTTATTAATGCAATGATAAAAAAGACATCCTGGTATTATGTTAGGAGTTGATTTGAATATTGCACAAAAAGAAAAAAGAGCCAATGAAAGGTTAAAGATGTCCGAAAAAAAACGTAAAAGAAGTTATAACGAGATACAGTCATTGAGTAAGTTTAATATTATTTTAGAATCATTATTTAATAATTAAGTATGTATTTAAATGCGCAAGTAGAAATGTGTTCATCATCATAGTCTGACGTTGCTGAAAATAATTTTAACAAGCCTGGACCGTCTAAAATGTACGTTAAACAACCAACTAGAGGAAGAATTGATTTTGAAAAGGTACTTGCGTGTTATTAGAAAATTACTTAGAACGTAATATTTTGTACTTACCATGTCGACACCACATCTACGAGCTAGTATTAAAATGTGTTTTTGAAGTTAAATTACGTCTAACATCTGGTCCTGATGTACCAATATTTAAACGCTTTCAACAAAATTGAAGAAATATAGATACTAACAAATTTGAGCCAGATATAATGAACGACATTATAAAAAAAACATTAAATGATGTATGTACTGTTGTAACTATCTTCGCAAATAACTATTTGCTTATTAAACAACTCGGAGAGGATTACAGAGAGTTTTTAGAACTAACAATTATTTTTCTTGGTGGAGTTTCCTTTAGAGTTCCGGGAGCTATCTATCATGTTAGTTGGATGACAAAAGCTTTATATTGCTTAAAAATATTTATATTCCGAAACCAATTTAATTTAACCTAAAAAGAAGAAATGTCAATAGCTAGTATTTGTATATTTATTATTAGATTATACGTAAAGAGCTTGGTTTAATGCACCATACCAAGATTTAAATTTTTTAAAAGATTTGGTAAATTATCAGTCAATAGATAAAAATATATCATAAGTTACAGTTAAAAAAATGTGTGGTCATTTGTGGTATCTATCGCCACAGAATAGGGTATTATCACTTTTTGATACTAATGTTCCATTTGATACAAAGTGAAAAATTATAGCTGCTCAAAAAATCCATACAGATGATGATGTACCAGAAAAATATTTATTGAATACAATAGAAGCTACTGGAATATTAAATAAAAATCTTGAAGATTTTATTTATGGAAAATCAATGCAATTTTTCAAACGTTTTAATATAGATACTAGTTTTCTGATCATTGACCCATCATTATGGAGCACTGATGAAAATTTGAAGATATCGATAGACCATATTAATAGCATTAATGTAGTAAATGATATAGCTGAAAGGGGTGTTAAACTAATGGAGGAGTTTAATACAAAAATAACAAACGATGAAAAACAAAAACAATATTTGCTTCAAGTAATAAATGATTACCGCAGTAAATATCCAGATTTCAAAAAGAGCACTCTTTTAGATAATTAGTTGAATGATTAATTTTTTGTTTTCATGCTTGATGTGTTTTAGTAAATTTTTTAAAAAAAGTTTTTCGTATTTTAAAATTAACATTGAATTCACTTTATTTTGTGAGTTTTTAACAACAAAATTATATATATTGACTTTTTATACATAAACAATATGTAAATCAAAAAATTGTTCAGAATATAATTTGTGTAAAATATTATTTTAAACAACTTTTGTTCTTACAATTTTGTTGTGAATACATTATTTCACGTGCTGAACTAAAAAAACAATGAAAAATGAACGGTTATCCAAAATTTTTGAGTTTTCAAACTTTAGGCCTTTTGTGGCACAGGTTAATCTTTTCTAATTTACCTGAAACATTGCGTACCTCATTTTTATAAGTATTGGAACTAATTGAGATTGTATAATTTTAGAAAAGTTAAGATTTTAAAATAATCCCTATTCACTAAAACCACCCTACTATACATATATATATTTGTTTAAAAAATATGGAATATATTTGTCTTTTTTTTAATAATAATAGTCTTTAAAACTAAGAAATATAAGCCATATGATATGAGACTGAAAAACTTAATATAACTTTAAATTAATTGAAAAATGTGTGTATTTATAATTTACACTTATTATATTTTTAATCACTAGGTCTCCACATTTAGAAGCATGCTCAAGAATAGTGTTTAATACAGAACTAGTAATACTGATCATAATACTGCTACCCGGTACTTTAGAAGAAGGCTAGATCTTCTTTTAATTACTTTTAAGCGTCTATGCGAAGCTGTGACAGTATTAATTTTACTATGTGTTTTTAGCTTCGATGCGAAGCTGAGAAGGTATTGGTTTTACTATGATGTGTTTTTTTTTTTTTTTTTTTTTTTTTGTGTCTGTTACCACTTTTTCTTAGCTCTCACCGAACGGATTTCTTTCAACTATACGTCAATAGATCACAAATCGTATCTAGTCGAAGACATTACCCTTCAAAATTGAAAAAATTTCCCTCGTTCCCTGTAAATGGGGGAAATCTCCAAAAAAATTACAAATTTAAAAATCGCTAATTTTCGAAATTCTTTTTACTTAAAACTGCCATAATTTTTTCAAAAATGACCAAATCAATATAATTTTTTTTATATATGCATGATGTATTTACTTTTCGTTTCGTATATTTTTTTTATAAATCTGACCCTTTACCTGCCCACAGAAGGGGGTTTAAAATGACAATTTTTTACAAAAAATTAACTTAACTTTTGTGTTCCGGAAAGTCTGACACTTCTATATAATATATTATATCTTAAATTAAATCTAATGTAATATACTTTATCATGGAAAAAAAAAATTCGGACTTTATTTTGTCTTTTTGGTGAAAATAGTTACCGAATACTATTTTTGTGTGAAAATTCTCAATTTTATATTTTACACTTTAAACTTTAATAATAAATTATAGCATTAGCTATAACTTATTGAAAAGTGTATGGATCAATACAATTTTTTTATGAGAAATAATATTTATATCCCTTTTTCATTCGACATACTTTTTTTAAAAAATAACACCATTTTCCTTTATATATTATAAATATATATATATTTATTCATATATTACACTTATAAATCATAAAACTTGTAATCAGGATATAAATAAGGAAATAGGAGATCATGTAGCTTTTGGTATAATCTACCATTTTTTTAAAATTAAACATCTACAGATTTGCATCGAAGCGTCTTTTATGATAGTGATTTTAATCACTGTCAGATATCATTATACTTGACCCGACTATGGCACGTCACAACTGTGCCGCACCCCCCTGTGCTGTGATTTTTATTTAGTTATCATTAGAGAATAAAAAATTTTTCGAGTCTAGTTTTTGGTCTGATAAATTTTTACTAGGAGGTACACTTTTTTTTTTTTATATAAGTTTATATGAAATTTTCTAAAACTTCTTTTTTATAAATTAAAATGAAACTCTTAAAAATTGTCACCCTAAAAAGGGGCGACTAGTGTAAAATTTGTACACGATCTTACAGTTTTATAAATAGGCACACTTCTAACGTTATTTCTAACAATTAGAAAAATAAAATCTACATTCGAATTGGATAGTTGAACTCAGTTTCTACAAATATTTTTTGAATATTTCTTTGTCCATATTTTCATTGAAACAGTTTATGATAGTAATGTTAATTTTTGTCAGATTTCAATCTACTTTGGTTCTATTTCCTCGCCCTCAATATTTCGAAAAACAAAAATAATTTTGATGAAAAGTAATAATTGTTTAGTTGATTATCTGCACTAAATAGTCTAATAAGTCCAATTACTGAACTGATCTTTCGTGCACCAAATAAAGATATCCGTTACCGGGTCACGAACACATAACAGTGGACGTCAGGAATTAGTATGTCACCGATTATGATATTCTGTCATTCTTATATATACAGAGTAATTATTTAAGGATATGACATTCATTTTCTCAGAAACTATTGATAATTTTTAATTCTTGTAAAGGAAAATATTGTTCGAGTCAAAAAACTTTACAGTAATTTGTAGTTAAATAATTTTTTTTTTATCATTTAATTCCTTTTGAAGGGTCCGTTGATATTTTAATATTTATTTGTTCTTGGAACAACGCTCGAATAGAGCTGAACTAACCTTAGTGTATGTAGTTAAAACGGAATATGGCGGAGATGGAAGGTGATAGAAGTTAAATAACTCGAACACTTGACTTTTTTATAAATACTAAAATGTTGATATTTTATAGTTGTAGAATAAAAAATATAATTAAGATATATATAGTAAATAGAAAAACTTTCATTATTATTACAAATTAAATTACAATATAGATTACTAGACTCCCAACTTTACAATAATAAACACTACTAGACTTAAGTTTTTATTTTTCAATGTACATCGCTAGACTGAATTTATATTAAAAAATAAAATATCCTCCCGTAATCTCACTCACATATATGTTACATGTGGAAGCGCTTATCAATAAAACATTATAATATACATTAATTCTATAAAGCTTATAGTGGTGACTATAACATCTTTTTTATTTCTATGGCTTCTCAATTTTTTTCATAGAATCCATAGAAATACAAAAAAAATGAGAAGCCATAGAGATGCAAAAAATTAAGAATCCATAGAAATGCAAAAAAAATGAGAATCCATAGAAATGTAAAAAAAAAAAAAAAATGAGAAACCATAAAAATGCAAAAAATTGAGAAGCATAGAAATACAAAATATTGAGAAGTCATAGAAATACGAAGAAAGGATTCCTGAAACGAGTTCTTGTATAAACTACTTTTTTAAAGAAAGGAACAAAAAATCTGAACGAATTCCTTTCATTATAATCATAATTAAAATTTACAATTTCTGTAAATTTTAGAGTTTCTAAATTTTTTTTCGTAATTTCTAGTTGTTATAAATTATAATGTACTTTTATGTTAATAGTTATCATTTCTTTTTAAATTAAAATCTGATGACCCTAATTATATATATTATTATATAATTTTATTAACAATTTCTAATTTTAATATAATTACTCTAATATTAATAAAGTTTTCAATGATATTAACTTATGAATACGATATCATCATAGGGTTGATTTTTAAATACTCTGTTTAAAATACCAAAAATATCAAATGTTACATTATGGACGTTTAAAAAGGTTTTTTTAAAACATGTTTCTCAACAACCCCGATTATTCTTGTATAATATTTGATTACTTTTTTTTTTCGTATAGCCTGTAGTTACATCATAAAATAGCTAAATTATAGTACGCTATTATGATTTTTGCTTTAAAATTTATCATAATAACTTAATTAATATTTTAGGATGGTAACGCGCAGTCATATATACTTAATTGATAACATAGTCAATAATTGATTTTAAGAACCAAGTTTTAGTACTTCATTTTCTTCGTCAGAAATAGGCCTGAACCCCGGTTCTTAAAAAGGTGTCGTAAATTTTAAAAACTAGTTCAATAGAACCAGAATTCCTAATTCAAATACATAGGGCGGGAACATGGGTCTTATCAAAAATACAGATCACTTTTATTTTTTGTGTGCTTGTGTAATCAATAACTTAAGTTAAAAATTTAAATAAATAACAATATATTCTATTAATATTATAAATAAAAACATGATTTTACAATAAATCAGATACAACATAAAATTACACATCACATTTCTTTACAGTGTTTAACTGTAAATTTCTAAATATTATTCATTGTTTCATTTTTTTTTTTTAATATTATAATAATTTCATAGGGATATTGAGTTAGCATAAATAATTAACATCAACAGGCAAATTATTTGTAAAAAGACACATATAAAATTTAAAAACACATACAAATCATTTGTAAAACAAATTGGTAAACGAGTATGCAATTAAAATTTAATATTAAATAGGAATGTATTAAAGGAATGAATGGTAAAAGGCGAAAATTATAAGGCAGCAAAATGTAGCCATAACACTAAACAGTATTATTTTATGTTGTCTAGAACGGACTATTATGGCATTTATCAAGCGAGTGCTTCTTCCTAGCTCAGCATTTGCACCTCTAAGCTGTATTACATAAAACATATCATAGTGATGTTAAATAATAATAAAATAAAATCATATACCCTATTAAAAGAATTTTGTAAAGTTTCTCTTTGATGTCCCAAATCTGATAATATGTGAGTTCCAATTTCTTCGGTTTCTAAAGTCAAACGATAAGTGTTATCTAACTGTATACCTGCACGGTTTAAACGTTCTGATGTGTATAATAGTCTTTGTTTTTGTTCAGAAGAAATATCTCCATTTTCAATAAAATTATTTTCATCTTCTAAAATGAGTAAAAACATTTTAAAAATATATTTAAAAAAAATTGATGATTTGTATTAAGTACCTAGATCAACATTAACAACACATTTAGCCCTTGCAAAATCCTTTGCAAGTCTATGAAGTTCAGCTCTGTAACTTGCTACCCTATTGTGTAATTTAACTCGAACTGATACATCAGACTCTTTAACAGATAAGTCCATTTGCTCCAACTGTTAAAATATAATCATTGAAGATAATGTAATAATAACAAATACAGTATACAATGTGTCTTAAATCTAACTGACAGCTCTTATAACTTTTAATTCAATTGTCATTTTGATGAGATTATTTTTAAATAGTTATTGCCTTCTTAGACAATATTTAAAGCATATATTTTTATTATTTATCAGAAAAAAATGTATTCTTTTAATTTTAAATAGCCAATTTTTAGCCCTATTCTTACAAATAATTTTGATAGGCTGTTAAGAATTCTAGAATAAGTGCTCATTGGGTACAAACATTTTAATACAAAGAGTAAGTATATTGTGAGGGTAAGTGCAACTCGTACTAGTATACATATACTTCACCCGTATCTACTCGATATATTTAAATTGCTATCGTTCTATTAAATATTTTTGTAAGAAAAGGGCTTTTGCAAAATTAAAAAAATATATATTAACAGTATGATAATTATACAAAAGCTATAAATATCATTAATTGGATATATAATCCAACTTAATCTTATAAAGGGCAAAAGTTTTTACTTACTAAATCATGGACTTCATCTAAATTACGTTCAATTTCTTTAATAAAGTTATTTTTATCAACTATCAAAAACAAGTAAAAAAAATTCAACAGGTTTGTATAATGACAACTATGAAATAATAAATAATTTACTTACTACCAGAAATGTGACTAAGTCTACTTATTTTAGAAGTAATCTCAGCGCTTGTCACACCAAATTGTTGTTCATAATCAGCTAATAAATTACTAGAAATTAAAATTATAAAAATTATAAATCTATAAACATTTGGTAAAATATACAATTATATACTTTTCCATATTTAATGTTTTAATCCAGTTTTCTCCTTATTAAACCATATTCATAAATTTTGAAGAATTTGAGTTACCTTTAAAAATTATAATAATTTAAACTTATTTATTTATACAGACATATAAATAATTGTATCACATTGATATTATTATTTAATTATTAAATTTGCAATAGAATGTTATAAATATTTTTTCTTTTAATAATACATTTTTATAAGAATAGGGTATGCGAAATTAATTAGCTTAATATTAAACAGTACTTGAACAGTTTTACTTTAAAATATTTCATATATTTTATTAAGTTAAAAGATTAAGTAAAATAGCTGTGAGAACAATAAATAAATATTTATCATTTAATTATTATGAGGGTCAAAAGTTAATTTTCCCAAGAAAATATTAGCTATTTTTATTTTTAGGAAATCATTGAGATAAATATAAGGAAAAATACTCAATAAATGACAATTAATAAAAATACTAAATGAATTTAACATACTTAAATTTACAAAAAAATATTAATACATCTTAATTTTATTTATCAGTATATTATGAATAAAATTTAGTCACTAACAGAAGTCAGCGACAAGACAGCTGCTTCACAAGTTTTAAAAGCTTACATTATAACTAAACACATAATAATTAATGATAACAACAATTTAGTAAATGACTGTAAAGAATATGATAAGGTACAGAATATTGACGATGACCGAATTTTCGATACATAGACGCTATCTAGTTATAAAAAAATAAACAATTGGTGAAATTTATTTCAAAAATGGGTAAAATTAACTTTTTATTTTAATTTTATGGTTAAAATAATTTTTTTCATCGGTTCTTCAATATTAGGAACAAATGCATTTTACCACCTCATCGAGTTTTTTCATTTTTTTTTTTTTAAAACGTATTTTTCAATGCTTTTTTCAAAAGTGTGAAAAAATTGGTTCAAAAGTTATAGCTTTTTAAAGTTGAAACGTTAAAAACTAAAAATAGCTCAAAAATTGTTTTTTTTTTGTTAATTTTTGGGATTTTTTCTCATGATACTATTGTGAAACTATAATGACGTAATTATTACATAATATCCTCATTCTAAAAATCCTAAAACCAGAATTATCTTTAAAAATAAGGATTTTCCATATTTTTTTTTCAAAACTACGCACATCAAATTTACGCAATACGAAATAAAAATAACAAGAAACTCAATTAATTCAATTTGAGCAAAAAAAAAAAAAAAAGACCACGATGTGGTGTTTTACATAGAATTGTTAATTCAATAAAATAAAAGTTTTTACTGTTTATTATGTACACCAATTAACACTTGTTGTAAACAAAAAAAAAATACTATTACATTAGATATTGTTGATATTAGTTAAGTTGTTGAGGTATCAAAATATACTTACTAATATCTTAATGTTATAATGTTGAGTTATACAAACCCATTTAAATATAAGTTGTGGTCACCTACGCCTGCCGGCTCCGGTGACCGATTCGAGCTCCTACGGGACTCTCGTGGGATGGGTGCTCACGCCCCCAAACCCCCAGAGGATAGAAGTCAAGCCCAAACCCAACCTATTTAAACCCATTCGACTGAAATTCTCAGTGACCCAACAAGTATAAAACCTTGATGTTAAAATGGTGATATAATATTGAAAAAATAGATCAAAAAAAATTAAATTTATTTACTTCAACACTACCTTAACACGTTTAATGTACTCATAAATACTCTTAAATTTACTATTCCTCGGTAACTACATCATCGAGAATACTTTTTATAGTTAATTAATGAAAATTATCAAAAAAAAACAGCAGTATATAACAAAATTTGTATATGATTATTGAAATCTTTGAAAGCTCATAACTTTTAAACTAGACTTCGCCGACAAAAAAATTTTATATATTCTTAGTCGGTATGAAAAACTAAATAGATTTAAAAAAAAAAAATTGAAAAATCTCGATGGGGTGGTAAAATGCATTTAAGCCCAATATTATATATTATAGATAATTACGTTTAATTTTATTGTGTTAGCTTTATTTTCTATTTTTAGGTAAATTGAAAATGTATACATTGAAAAAGGGACATTGAGAGTAAATGATTTTCCTCTATCTCATTATTAATTGAAAAGATCAAATATTAAGTGCAGAGGTAATTTTTGTAAACACAGATCGACATATTAAACACAGTAATTATAGTTGAAAAATGTCTTATATCTTGTATCAATCTTAAATTAATTAGATCAACATACTTTGAGGAGATCTTATTAAGGTTGGGTTTGACTTACCCCCAATTTTTAAAATGTTAACTTAGCAATTTTTTTAGTTAGTCGGTAAATATTATAAATTTTAAGATTTTTTAAGCGAAGAGTAAAAATAAAGGTTTTCCATAAATGAATTATTATTAAATCAAGCATTGCTTCATAAATATTCGCTCAATAATTGCTGATACTAAAATATATATTTCATTGAGTAACATTATCAAAGTTTTATCGTTGATAGGTTAAACAAAAATAATTCACTTTCGTTTTGTAGGAGCTCTGTTACCATCATTGTTATAGACACGTCCGCATTTTTTGATAAAATTCTAAATTACAATGTCGCGCCAAAATTTTATACCAGGCATAATGTATTTTATAACACACAATAAGTATTATAGAACTTATTTTTTTACAAATACCAAATTTTAATACAAGGAATTCATAAGGATAGATGTGTGTGATCTTACGTTTGTTTTCGAAAGGTGTCCAGCGACTTATCACCTTTGTAATTTCAGGGCGTTATTTATACAGTCATATATACATATATTATATATTTTTGTGAATATTTTTTATTTATCGATTTAAATAGATATATAAATATAAATATATATATATAGATAACAAAAGTTAACAAAAAAAACACAAACGTATCGACCAGTTAAGGCGAACGTCGGAAACGGAACAGAACGCATCATTAGTAATTCATAGTCGGCGGCGATCTTGTCATGGTGTCAAGGGCAGGGAGACACCCGATGACACCATTTGTCATATTAAAATAAGTGGACGGCTGATATCGGCTGTGTCAATGTTAACGAAGAAAAAAATTGTTTCTAGCTCCTTCTTTAAAATGCATATAATAATAAGCTATGTTTTGAAAACATAATTATTCAATTATAAAAAATTAATAATATTTTAGAGACAAAAAACATTAAACGTAAGAATATAATAACTATTAAATATTGAATAACATTACTACGTTATGTATTTTACATATCCATATTTCATGCAAGATTTTATTAATTCACTGTATGAAATAAATATGGTTATATTATAAATGTATAATAAATAAATTAAATAATCATAACAGATATAAAATATTAAGGAAATACAATATTCCTTAATGAATTCATATAAATTGATTAAGAGTTTTATGAAAATCTTGCAAATACGTCAATACTTGAGCGGAGGACGGCCTTTCTTCTGGATTAGGTAACCAACAGCAAGTCATCATGCCAAATCTATAACATTATTAATTAATACAATTATAATAATATTTTTTTATATTTGACACAAAGTCAAGGTTTTTCATAAATATTTGCATAAATTTTTGTTGGCTTATTAACTTACAGATCATCTGGGCAGTTTATTGGTTGAGAAAGTCTATAACCTTCTTGAAGGTAATGACTGAGATCATACGGATCAATATCACCATATGGCTGAGTTCCGAGACATACGAGTTCCCAAAGTAGAACACCAAATGACCACTAAAATATTTTACACAAAATTTTCAATAAATCAAATTACAATTTAAATTACTAATAATAAACGGGAATGTCATTTGTTGTATGAATAAGAGAGTGCATCAGTAAAATTTTTGATAACACATGGTGACAACATTCGTTTTCTATATAAACTGTATTTTCAAATAGTCCACGATAATCAAAAGTGATAACACTACTTTGATAATTGAGGATGTCTAATGAAATTATCAACATGCATTTTTCAAGGGAGTCAAATCCCCCGACAAATTACGGCATTGATTGGTATTGTTTAGGACGAATAGATTTCCTAATTATTGTTATTATTTTTTGTTTTACATCCTCTTGTAAACTATGCTTGTACTAGAGAGGACGGGAATACCTACATAGCTCAGCACAACAGAAATGAACCCCAGGTTAATACCCAGGTTTGTACAAAGTGCCACATTACGATATATACTATTCGATAGTTTAAAATATTCAAAAATACCTATCACTACTACAGAGTCTAAAGACTCAGAAATGTTAATATATAAAAATACCAGTTAATTTGAGCAAGACAATAAAATTTGAAATATAGAAAATTCAAGTGCTAAATAACTGCTAAAAATTTTAAGAAGATTTATTTATTTTGAGCTTTAGCATAATATACAGTGTGAATACATCATATTAATGAACAAGCAAGTGCGTGATAAACTCCATTAATTCATTTATGTGTAATAACATACAAGTTAAAGTAAAAACATTCGTGTTTTGTGTAATATTCAGAAATTAAAATAATTTCTGTTAGCGTGCACACAAAACAGAGTTTTACAATTTATTATACAGAGTTTTTTGTATTATATTAAATTAATGACGTATTTGAAAATATAACATTTACCATAAAATATCATTAAGTATGTTTGATAATGTAACGTAAAAAATATTAGCTTGAATTTAAATCGTCTTTAAATTCATTATCTACATTGTTAATTAAAAAAATGAGTTAAAAATATACATAGTGTTCAATAAGTAAGAAAACAAGTAAATTGTTACAAACAATGAGAACAATTAAAACCCGTTCCCTTACTTACTGAACACTCTATATACTATTTTAAAAAGGTATAATTTATAATTATTAGTTTTATTTTGTTAGCTTATTAATTATAATTAAAGGGCTTGATATATACTTATAAATAATTTTAAATGTTCGGAATTTGCATAATGTATAACAACTCGGACTTGAAATTTAACTAATCTATAGCAATAGACGTGTAGGGTATTCAGTATTAAGTAAAAAAGGTTAATATTGTTACCATTGTTTGTATGAATAGACCTGTTTCCTTATTTTTGAAATACTATGTATATTAATCAAATATATAAAAATTAATGAATTTTCTAATAAATAAATATGCTAAATTATTTATTATAATATAAATAGGGGTAGTCAATTTTTTTGAGAGGGCTAAATTTAATCTTCCCTCCCAAAAAATAATTTTTATATAATTAATATAGCTTACATATGGTAATTTATTTCAGAAATAAGTGAAATATTCGTAATGTAAGAATAATTTGTAAATTTGTTTAACTTTTATTTCATATAATACTTTATTTATAAAAACTAAAACATTTTTTGTGTCCACTCCCTTCTTCTTCTTCTTCTTCCTCGCCTTAATCCCAGCTACGTGGGGTCTGCCACCCTTATCCTAAACTTCCACTTGACACGATCTCCCACATAATTTACGCTCACATTAGCTGTCCTCAAATCGCATTCGACAGCATCCCTCCATCTCTTTTTTGGTCTTCCTCTACCTCTTCTTCCTTCAACATTTATTTCTATAACTGTTCTTACAGTTTCTGATTCTTCTCTCCTCATAACATGACCAAACCATCTAAGTCTATTTTCTCTCATCTTATCCACGATTAACCCTACACATATAATCCATCTTATATGTTCGTTCCTTATACTATCTTTTCTAGTCACTCCACTCATCCATCTAAGTATTCTCATCTCCGCTACAATCATTCTCTGCTCTACTTTCTTGTCGACCGCCCAACACGCTGAACCATACATCATAGCTGGTCTCAATACATTCTTGTAGAATTTACCTTTCAACCTCATTGGAATTCTTTTATCGCATACGACGCCAGACGCTTCTCTCCACTTCAATCACCCGCACTTAATTCTGTGTCTTACATCTTCGTCAATACCACCACACCAAATTTTCATACTATGACACATAAGCTTTATGCCTCTATAATTTACACACTCCTGTATGTCTCCTTTACCTTTAAATATCGGCACCATAATACTATTCCTCTATTAATTTGGTATTTTCTCTTCTAATAAGATTTTATTTAAAAGTTCCTTCAACCACCTTATGCCAACACAGCCTAATATTTTCTATACTTCTACTGGCACTTCATCTGGTCCTACTGCTTTAATCTTTTTCATTGATGCCACAGCCTCCCATACCTCTTTCTCACTAATTAAATCTACCAGTCCCTCATTCTACGAGATATACTCTAATGTCTCTTTTGGGTACTCCTCATTCAATCATTTTTCAAAATACTCTTTCCACCTTTTTTCACATCATCATCACTCGAGAGTACCTTATATCAACACTTTTTATACACCTTATATAATGATAATCTTTAGACCTTTTCTCTCTTATCTTTGCAAGTCTATAGATTTCTTTCTCGCCTTCCTTTGTTCCTTGCATATCATACAACTCATCATACCTCTTAAACTTCGCCTTATTTACTGCACACTTGGCTTCTTTACACAAACGTTTATACTCCATCCAGTCTTCTCTCCTTTTGCTCTTCTGTCATACTTTGAACTGCTTTTTCTTACTTTCTATGATTTTTTGAAGGTCCTCATCTCACCACCAGGTTTCCTTGTTTCCTGGCATTCTACTCCTACTCTTACCAACAATGTTCTTTGCAGTATTTTTTACACAACTAGCAAATCTTGCTAGTGTTGGGAAATCTTTTTGTGTCCACTCCCAACTAGAAAACTTTGACTACGTGTATTTCCGTTTATACATTTTACTTTACAGCCAAGGGTAGCAAATAAGTAAGGTTATTTAACAAATAAGTTAAAAGAATAAGGACAAAGCCCTGTAAGGTCTTATTCTGCTTTACTAATTTGTAGATAACAAATTTAAATGAGAGGCAAAAATCTAATCTTGGTCAATTGAAAACTACAAACATTTTAAATATAAATTAATAATGATAATTTTTATTTTTAAGTATTTCTCAGCTGTGTTTCTACTCCAACCTAAATATAAAAATAATCATAACTTACAACATCTGACGCTCCGTTGTATGTGCGTAATAAGATACTTTCTAATGCCATCCATTTAATAGGTCGATTTTCATTATCGTCCAAACATGAGTAGTCTTCTGGAAATAAGTCTCTTGATAAACCACTATCAGAAAGCTTAACTCTTAATTTTTCGTCAACTCTAGAGCGTAAAATATATTTTGGTAAGTAAAAATATTTTAATACGACATGACATATTTTTGTACATACACACAATTTCTGGCAGATATGTCTCTATGGCATATCCCTTGGCTGTGTAAGTATACACAACCTAAACAAAGTTGAACTCCCATATCAACGATATCTTGAGTGGTAAGACTATAATAATCATTAGATTTTCTTTTACAGTCATAAAGAAATCTAATATGTAATAAAAAAAACATATTAAAAACAATTTTTTAAATTATTTATACATTTAGTTTAGTAAATCTAAACATAGCATAGACAATTTTTATGTAAAATAAAATAATACTTTAAGGGGTTAAGGATAGTCAGAGGCATGAAAAAATGAGTATTTTAAGTAGGATTTTTTGACAGTAGTTTAATTTATTTTGTATAACAAATAATACAAAGTTGTTATAATCTTTTAACTTTATTTGATAAAAATCAAAAAAAAATTATTTTTAATTATTATTAAGTAATGACTAATATTAAAAGAAATTATTTAAAATACTCATTTTTCAGTCTTTTGACTATGTTTAACACATTAAAAGATTTCGTGTTCTTAGATCCTCCTATAAACACAAATAACGTACTAATTTAAAAGATTGCTATAACAATCTAATAACTCATATTATGTAATATGAGAAAATTTGAACATTTACTTTAGTATCGGTAATTACATGAAAAACTTATTTCACATAGAGTTATAACAAGAGCCGGTGCTTGGAGTCTTAGAGCTAGATGTAAAATTCGTTTATGTTTATTTTAAATTTTTATTGAAAGAGCAGTTTATTGACTTTTATAGCAAGTCTTTCAATTGTATTTAAAACAATTTTTTAAACATAAAAAATGGGTATCGTCAAATGGAGCAACATGAGATGATGGTTAAACTTGGGCCAGTTCAATTTACTAACACTGTAGGTGTTAGTAAAATGATTACAAGTGTTGTTAAGAAACACAAAATATTTATTCACAAAAATTAAGTTATGCCATCTGTAAAATATTTAACTGGACACAAGTTATCCCACTTGATGGTATTAAATATTAATAAGAACAACTAAAACCTATTTTTATTTTGTACTTGAAAAAGTAAGAATTCTACATTTTACAAAATAAGCAATTACTACGTTTCAGTTTGAGTCTACAAAATAAACATTTACTGAAACTTACTTTTTTAAGTTTCCTTTATTACTGAAGGGATACAATACTGAAGGAGGTTTATCAGCAAATTGACAAACGGCAATTGGCTGTAAGATGTTTAAATGTCCAGATATACCATGTAACATCAAACTTTCAGATAGGAATATAGTCACTTGTTGAGATGCAGCATCACCTACATTATAAAGATAATAGTTTAAAGTTTTTAAGTAAATATTTTTTAGGAGATCTACCTAGCTCAGTCGTTAACGCGTTATGTCTCGATACGAACTGAGATTTGATTCTATTGCGCTGGGTTATGTAGATTTTCCCGTCCTCTCTGGCGCAAGCAATAACTTTTAGAGAGGACGTTAAATACGATTAAACATGATTTAATTTTAAAATTTAAATCCCATATATAATATTTTTTATAAATCATAAAACGTGTAAAATCAAAATAATCCATAGTTTCCATAATTAGTTATCTAGATTTCCATAATATCAAGTTGTTAAATATTTTGGATGTAAATTAGGTCAGACAAATTCTACCCGGTTCATATACAAAGTGTTTAATAACTAAGGTAACAGGTAATGTTACATTAATAATGGAAAAAACAAAACATTTTTATTTATCTTTAAACATTCTGTATAATATTATTATTATCTTATTTCAATGTTTTATTATCTTATTGCATAATAAAACATAAAAAAATTACTTAACGATGTTCGATTTTCGTTTTTTTTTTGTCAATGAAAAACTTGATGACATTATTGTGGTAAAATAATTTTTGATGATGAGAAAAACATTTTTAGTACTTTGAGAGCGTTTAAAAATGATAGAAAAAACGATAATTGCCACCAGCGTTCTTTAATTTAAAATCTAAAATTTGTATCTGGCTTGCCCGCAGACATTCTAAAGATATCCTGAAATCTGTGGGATTTTATTCGAGATTTTTTTTTAAGCCCATTCACATATTTTTTGTTTGGACATTATTTTTTGTAGCGTATCCCAATATTTGTGATATATATTTTTAATAAACACAAAATTATTTTAAACATTTTATTTGTATATCTGTTTTGCTAAAGAGTGAATCCATGTCAAATTATCCAAAAGTGGTTGCATATTTGATTTTTTTTTCTTCAGGGTTTATTCTTTATATTTTATTTATATGAATATAAAAAATGTATAAATATAAAAATTTTTAAAAACAGTCACAACGTTAAAAAAAACACAGTTTATTCAATATTAATTTAAATTTTAGAATTGACCTTATTATAACTAAAAGTTTATAGGAGCATTATTTCTGTTGGGGGACCTAATTTCAAAAATTTTTTTTTTTAATTTTTTAGTTATATATTTATTTAATCCACTATAAAAATTTGAAGTTTGAGCAAAAATCTAACATGTAAATACAGCGTTAAAAAATCAGAAAAAAGCCGCTAAAACTCAAAAAACTTAATGATAGTTATTTGAAGTTTTCAAACCATGTTTTTTATATTATTATATATTTAATATATTACAATACAATGTAATTATTATATATATTATAATTATTCAATACAATATTATAGTTGCAAAATAAAAAATTGATTAATTAGATTGTTATGACAATATTATAAAACATTGTAATGAATAATATTAGTTTTATCTAGTAGTTATAATATTATATATTCATAAATATCAGTTAATGATGTTTTAAAGCTTCTTTTGGTATTATTATTAATTGGTACAAATCTGGATTTTTCATGTAGAGTAACTCATTTTCACCATAAAACATAATAAAGTTCAACATTTTTTTTTTTTATTGAAGTATATTGCATGTGCTTTATTTTAAGATATATATAAAAATCAATATTACCGGAACATTTTCAAAAAATTAAGTTTTAAAAGTTCTAGTTTCTATTCGCATGTTTATAGTTTTAACATCCCCTGTATAAAAGGAAACGGTCGGATTCCAAAAAAAAGTATTTCGGTTGAAAGGTGTATATAAAAAGTATTTATAAAAAAACCTAGCTCAGTGGGGACGTGGCGTAGTTGGATCCAGTATAGATGATACCTGACAGTGATTAAAATCACTATCATAAAAAGCGCTTCGTTGTAAATCTGTAAATAGTGTTTAATTTAAAAAAATTAATGGATTATTGCTACATGATGTCCTATTTCCTTATTATATTATTTATAATATATAAATATATAAAGGGAAATGGTCCGATTTAAAAAAAAAGTATGTCGAATAAAAGAGGTATATATTAAAAATCATCAACTATTAAACAAGACCCTAACAATTGGAAAAATAAGTTTTGTTGAAATTTAGTTCTTCAATAAGAATAATCTTATATCAGTTATTCGTATTATTAACATGACATAAATATTTACCAGTAACTGTTTTGACAAATACTTCTTGAGAACAACCTTTATCGATTTGATAAGTTCCTTGGTACACCTTACTAAATGCACCTTCTAATAATAGTTTTTCTAATTTAACTGGAGCACTATGTGAACTTAATGACAAAATTCGTTCCTCTAAGTTATCACATATTCTACGGTCATTAACTGCCATCTAAAAATAATACATTTTAATTAAAAAAATATTAAATATAACTCATCATATCAAATTTAATTTAAGAAATTTTGCTAATTCTTCTTTTATCGCCGTTCATATATCGCATTCAATAATTTTTTTTGTATTCCTTTGAGCTCAAACATGGTTTATATTTATTAGTTTTATATGTATCTACATTTATGTAATAACATTCCTCCATCTCTTTTTTGGTCTTTCTCTACCTCTTTTTGCCACAACATTCATTTTAGCTTCGATGCGAAGCTAAGAAGGTATTGGTTTTACTAAGATGTGTTTTTTTTTTTTTTTTTTTTCTGTTACCACTTTTTCTCAGCTCTCACCGAACCAATTTCTTTCAAGGATACGTCATAAGATCACAAATCGTATCTAGTCGAAGACATTACCTAAAAATTTAAAAAAATTTCCCTCGTTCCCCGTAAATGGGGAAATCTCCAAAAAAATTACAAATTTAAAAATCGCTAACTTTTGAAATTCTTTTTACTTAAAACTGCCATAATTTTTTCAAAATTGACCAAATCAATATAATTTTTTTTATATATGCATGATGTGTTTACCTTTCGTTTCGTATATTTCTTTTATAAATCTGACCCTTTACCTGCCCACAGAGGGGGATTTAAAATGACAACTTTTTCACAAAAAATTAATTTTTTCAACATAAATTTTGAAAGTGTTCCGGAAAGTCTGGCACTTTTATATATATCTTAAATTAAAGTTAATGTAATTTACTTTATTATGCGAAAAAAAATGTCTGACTTTATTTTGTCTTCACGGTGAAAATGTCTACCGGATGCTATTATTGTGTGAAAATTCTCGATTTTATTTTTTACATTTTTAACTTTATAATGCTATAACATATTGAAAAGTGTATGGATCAACATAATTTTTTTATGAGAAATAATATTTTTTAATAATCCCTTTTTCATTTGATTTAATCAGGATATTAATAAGGAACTAGCAGATCATGTAGCTTTTGGAATAATCCACCAATTTTCTAAAATTAAACACTATCTAAAGATTTGCATCGAAGCGTTTTTTTTTGATAGTGATTTTAATCACTGTCAGATATCATTATACTTGATCCAACTATGCCACGTCACCACTGTGCCGCGACTCCCCTGTGCTGGGGTCTTTTTAGAATAAATTGAATGTATATTAATAACGTTAAAATTTTAAAAACAAGCTTAATTTAACATATACAAATTATTAATACTAATTTTAGAAATAATTTCATTACTAAACAAAATCGAGTATTAATAATCAGCTTAAAACTTAAGACATAATTTTATACAAAAATATTTGAAATTAAATTTAAGTAAAATAAATATTTCATCTCTTTGAAATATTTCAAGTATTCTTTTTCTTTTATTCAATCATAAGATTGGTTTGTAGAAATTGTTAACTTATTTTCTATTTCTATAAGTGATCACACGTTTAACTTTTAAGTACACCTGTAGATTAAGTTACTTAGTGCTTATGCAGAGGCTTAATTGTAACAGGTGTTTTGATTTTATTATTATAAAATACAGTTTACAATATGTGTATATATATATTTTTTTTTTCTAATTCTTTCTTTNTTCGTTAAATTATAGTTTTAATCTGCCATTTTCACTTATTATGTTTTACAAGTATGCAAAATCTTCTATCTTTTCTATTTCTTGATTATTTTTAGATGTATTCATACTCTAATATTATCGTTCCTGCTTTATACTAGAAATGAAGTCTCTAATAGATTTACTTATAGGTATAGTTCAATAATTTGTTTTTTCCCATTCAATTTAGTATCGTTTGCAATTCTTCTTCATTTCAGTATACATAGTACAACACTTTTTCTTTGTCAAAAATAAACAATATGTGTATATATATATATTTTTTTTCTAATTCTTTCTTTATTAAACTTCAAAGTCAAAATCTTTATTAATTCAAGGTCAAAACTTTAGAAAAGAATAAACATTACTTTAGTGTTTAAAAAAATTTTAGTCCAAGATAACACAAAGTCTATGAATACTAGTTTTTCAAACTTCATTTTTAGAAAGTTAAACATATGTTTATATATTAAAATACCGGTAAATTTCTTGGTATAGGAAATTTATTAAACACATTTAAATACACTATAATAGAATAAAATTTAACACTATCTAAAGATTTGCATCGAAGCGTTTTTTTTTATAGTGATTTTAATCACTGTCAGATATCATTATACTAAACTCAACCAACTATGCCACGTCACCACTGTGCTGCGACCCCCTGTGCTGGGTTTTTTATAACTGTTCTTACAGCGTTCTATTCCTCTTTTCTGTGTATATGACCAAACCATTTAAGTCTATTATCTCTCATCATATCCATTATTGACACTAAACCTATTCTCTCTCTTATATGTTCATCCCTTATCCTATTTTACTCCAGTCATACACTATTTTCTTGTCAACCGCTCAAACACTTTGAACTATTAACATAGCTGGCCTCACTACAGTCTTGTAGAACTTACCTTTCAGCCTAATTGAAATTCTCTTATCGTATAACACACCAGACGTTTCTTTCCACTTAAATTTATTTAGTCAAAAATCACATATACGTATTCAGACAATTATGTTACCTTCATCAAAGCTAAACACATAAATTCATTAAATATTAACTTAGATTATTTTTATTGATTCACTAACCTGCATAATACTTTTTACAAAATAATAATATTTTATATTCAAAAATTGTATAATACCCAATCACTTTTTATATGATGTTATGAATCGCGTGATTTGCCAATCAGTCTATTGTCAGTGTTTTGACTCATAGGGTTCATATATAATATAAATATCAAAATACTACGTGTAGAAGTCTTATATAAGGCATGTCAATGTGTATATTTTTTAAGATTATTGAAGATTAATTAAAACATTACGCATAACATAATCTTTTTTAAATGGCAAAATACATTAGGAGTATAGTATAATGTCGCTGTTTGATTTTTATTAATAAAATAATAGACACAAAAAGAAAAAGTATTCAAACAAACAAAAGCTTTATTATAAATTTATTTTAACTAACTGACAGGTAATCGTAGAGATATTTGGGGTGTCCCGCAACGTTCATAATAAATCTGTCATATTACAACATTGAACAGGAAATTGGCATCCAACACATAATTTATCACAGGTTTATACGGTGATAGTTAGGGTGTTTAGGCAGGTTTCAACATTGATACTATTAGTAAAGCAGGGATAATGTAATGTTTTATAATTCTTATTCATTATTTACGAGTTGATTTTTATGCCAGACACCATTAACAGGTTTTTTTTAACTTTTTCCTCAATAGCTTTTTTTAAGTGTGTATTCACAAAGTGAACAAACAAAATATTTTTGATGATGTATTGAAATTCTTGCTATTTTCTTTATAGTATCTTGATGACTTGTCACAAAAAAAAAGAAAAATTGATTGATTGAAGGATACAAGTCCGTTGACTTGCAATATTTAATGACCCTAATAAACGTGACGATAGATGAAAACCTTTTATTTTATCCACATTACTTGATTTTACTGTTTGGCAAAGTTCCACTCTTAAAGTTCGGCTAAACACAAAAAAAAATGTACCAAGACATTGATTCCAAACATTACCAATTGAGGGGTAGTCATGTTTCTAATCTGATTAAATGGCTCGATGCCCATTTTATGGGTGGGAATCGATTACGGTCTTTGTAGATGATTTATCTGTGGTAATGTTCTTAAATCACGTGAAACGATTTTGCGTAATGATTGTGTCGTTCATGAAATTATGAGCTTCCAGCTAATATAACCACTGCAGTTTATTATTGATTTTTGGCTTAACACGATTCGATAATGTAGGCGGACGTAGAATGGTTGTGGACGGTACAATTGAAGAGGGTGTTGTAAGGTCGCAGAATTAATTTACATGTCTGATTACAGCTTAGAGGGTAATTAACAACAAAATCTAAATCTCCGGAACCGGAATTGTAAATTAAATTACGATTAACTGTGAATTACAATTTGTTGGTAGATTACAATTCATAAAAATATTTTAATTATAGTAATTAACTATTTTTTTAGTATAATTTTCTAATATTCAGTAAGTATTAGATGATTTAAAAGTTCTCACCAGTGGTGTACATGCATAATACGATATCTTTGAAGGTGTTGGTGATGTTGGTTTTGAATAAACATGATAAATGTTCCCAGCAGAGGCTACGTAACTTGTAGCATATGGCGATACATGACTATTGTTGGAGCTCATAGTTTTCACCGTAGTACAGTTTCCTTTTTTGACACTTTGAATAGTTGCATAAGTATCATTAGTGCTTGATACTGAATTGGTACGGACTAACATATTTGGATTAGCTATATATGCTGCACTGGTGTAGCTTGTACTGAAAAAAGAATAACATTTTTTATACATTTGGTACAAAAGTCTAATGTTATTACAATATTGGCAATTAATTCAAAGAAAATGATTTACTTCGAAAGAGCGAAATTTTTATGCGGTTGTGCATTTTGAACATAATAACAAGAAAATATATTAAAAATTATAAAAAAAAAGTAAGGGTGGGGCAAATTGATAAATCTTAGCTTAAATTAGGTTATTTTTAAACAATATATTATATATATATTCTTTATTTAACTTCTGAATTAGTTTTTAAATATATTTGATAGTATTGTAAGCAAAAACAAAACTTACTGGAATGATTCTTTTGATTTAGGTCTTAATAATAATTTGTTCGAGTGTCTGTAAATTAATCCAGAAGTAACTGCTATTAGTGTTATGATTAGTGCGGAACCACAACCTAAAGCAAAGTAAAAAGCTCCATTAGTTGAAATTAATTCTTCGGGAGTTTCACGCTCTTGGAGCTTTATAGTATTTCTTGTTGTTAAAGAAGATATTCCAGCTGCATAATGTGATAAATTTGAGTTGGTTGAAGAGGATGTAACTATATGCTGTTTTTGACCAAAAGAAATGTGTTTATGTTGTTGGTCATGTTTTGAGGGTATATAATCGACACGATTTGTATCCAATGATTCATCTTTACCTTAAATTAATATTTCAAAATAGATTTCAAATATTTCTTATAAAATAGGGTGACTTTACCAATAAATGAACAGTAAAGAGGTTTTCATCTTTTTAAGTTTTTTTTTTTATATCTTGAACTTAAATCGTTCATAAATATTTGTTCACTAGAAAATTCACTATAGTAATAATATAAAAATATTTAAAGTTAATTAACATAAACATTTAAACTAATTATATTGAAAATTGGAATTTTCCAGTGAATAAATATTTAATGGGCTTAAATGGAATTAATTTAAATATTTCTTTGTAATAAACACTACTAACAACAATTACTATGATAACATTAGACAACTTTTAAGTTAATAAATCAGTGGTGTTCATTTATCCATAATATTTATTCATTGATAATGTTACCCTAGAATTGATTTGGTGAACCTTCATGATTAACCTATCTCAAAGAACTATACAATAATTGTAAAAAAGTTAAATTAATTGTATATAGTCAATCGGTGTGAGTTTTGTTGAAAATTAAAATGAAATTTTAAACGTAAAAAAAAAATGCTTTCAGTGTTGTAACAAGAATATTTTCCGGGGTTTGGCTGCAGCCCCTTAGAATGGTTACGTTACTGACATTATATGATATAAAATAGTTTTATTTGGTTTATATAAATCTAATAGTTTATTAGAATAAATAGAATAACATTAGATTTATGTAATTAAACCTTAAATAATCCTAAAACTTTTAGTGATACTAATTTTTATGATTTATGCTTTCAAAGTTACTTAAAATAAAATGAACGAGTTCAAACACGGATGTTCAAACTCTTGTAATTAATTCGTTAAAATTTCGTTGATCATATATAAAGTATGAAAGGGTGGATTAATTATTAACGAACAAAATGCTCGTGTACTTTGCTAGTCTAACTATTATCATCAGTAAATATATATACATCAAAGGTATGTTCAAGGCATGTTAATTTGAAATGCAAATCGGTTGAAAGTGCATTTATAATATGAATTGGGACTGTATTTGATATGAAAAGAGAATCAATTAGAACTTAAACTATATTATAGTATATGAAGTACCGATAAAAGTATCTAACAGCATATCATTGGTTTTCAAACAAATTTTCACACGCTTAAAGATTAAAGAGACGTCATTGTGTTTTGGATTAACTGCAGTAATGTTAATAACAAGTTGAATGCGGACTTCTGCGCTTACTACACCAGTACACAACAATTTAAGATGAAATGACTCAACGTGTGAAGGCACCCAACCTGACTGTGGGATATCTAATTCTGGTTTCTTCATTGCAATACCATTATTGGATTCTACGTCCCAAGAATATGGTAGCTGAAAAAATAAAGTTTCTAAAATAAGAAGTATTATAGTAATGAAAAAAATTATTAATAAATATGATTAATAATAATTTAATATAATACATTAAATTGCACCTAGTCGTTTATCTAGCTCATAACTACAAAAACAGAAGCTATATGGAGGCTGACCATCCACTTTAATTTTTTAGAGGTCACAAAATAGGTAAATTTTCAATAAAGTTTCGATTTTTTTTTCAAAACATAATATATGTTTATAAAAAAAATTAAACTACAAAATTTTAAGTAGCCCTTTATCTAAAAATACAAAGTATATAGTAGTTTGTTTTCAGTTCATCCACTTCAAAAAAATGAAATGATACTTCAATACAAAAACTAGAAAAATTATTATGTTTTATAGTCTGGCCTTTATTTAAAAATTGACACAGGAAGCAATTGCTTCTGGTAGCATTATTTTAGGAATGGTAGAATTTAAATGGTCAATAATGTAAACATACTTGCAAAAAACAATAAGTGAAATGAAAAATAAAAAATTGTTAACATGTTTTTATTTAACTTTTTAATTAATATTAAAAAACAGTTGAATTTACTATTTTTAATTTTTTTTATATTTCATTGAAATTAATTTTTAATCTTAATTATATTCATCAGCGTTACATGAGATAATTATGATAGATATGTGCGTAGTTGATGAGATCTTAAAAAAAATTAGCTGAAATAAAAAATTCAATAAAATAATAATATAATATAAACAAAATTTTAGGGAGGGGCTAAAGCAATATCCTCCCACTTTTTTTAACTCCACCTGTAGTGTACGAGAATTGTAAATGTTGCCAGTTGGTACATTTTATAAATATGCGTCTGCTTGTAGTGAGACACCTATAACACCGAGATCCATAGGATGCAACATAATTTTTTTAATGAATCATCATATCTTATTACTGTTTTCAAGTATAATAATTTTATAAATTTCTGTTTAAAATTTCAAATTTGAATTATAAAACATTCTCTTTTAGATAATAATAATCCCCAAACAAAGATTTGTTCCGTGATATCTTGTTTTAATAAATAAAGATGAATGAAATATCTGTCAATATTCATTGCAATAGTGAATTTTTCCGCGTAAAACTAATGTAAAAAAAAAAAAATTAGAATAAATAAGGCAATAACTATCTGTTTACAATAATTAGAGTAATTTTTTTAAGGAAAAATAAGCGTCAGTTATCTTTAATAAGAAAAAAATATTTTTTAACAATTTTTTTTTTTTTATTAAAAGGTAAACTAATTGTTTTTTATACACGTCACCGATTTTAATAAAATGAAATCATATAGAACACTATTTACTATTAAATAATAGTGTATTCAGAATTTATCATAGGATGAGGGGCTATAATCAATTTTGATAATTTTCTATCTAAAATTTCCTAATATTACCATAGAAGCCTTTTTAGCCCCCGAAATGGAAATAATTTATAACGAATAAACAAATTAAAAAAAATTATTTATTAAACATTAATATTTTTTAAAAACTGAAAATGATAATTTCGTTTTATCTATTTGTGAATATTTTAGTCGTAATAAATAGAATAAGCTTTTTGTAAGTTATTTCTTTATAACTAATTTATTGACGAATACATAGCGATATTTATTGAAATTATGAAATGTGTATCACATCTGCGTATAATTTATAATACATGTATATTAACATGTATATTAACATGTATAGACACCACGTTATTGTATATTATTATTATCAATAGGTAGTGGAAACCATCTGAATCTGGTACATCAAGATTTTTTTATCCAAAACTAATACCCTAGCTAATAGCGATTACAAAAAGCTTCGTAGCTTCATAAACTCTGAATTGTGGGTCCATATATTTATTTGTATATATTTGTGCGTACTGAGATTTCCGACCCTGTTTTTGACACATATGTCACACTACACAAACAGGAGTCGGCAAATCCTGGGCTTATAACCTCCCTTTGATACAACAATCACTCTATACTCCTAATACCACCTTGATGCCTAACTATATATTTCACATTTGAAATATTTCCCTCACCTTTTTCAAAACAAACCTTTATGTAAATAAAATTCAGTTTCTTGCATTGGCCATACAAATCTTATTTCACAGTTACACTTAAAACAATACTAACTCTCTTACTCAAAATCATTACTGGTATTATTTTAAAGAAATAAGTTTCAATTTTATATATTCTTTCAAAGATTAGTTATAAATAATATCATATTTTAAAATTTTATTTTTTATTTTTTAAATATTCAAAAAATTATTATTTGATTGATAATATATTTCTTCTCGTAATCAAAAATTATGTTAATGAAAACTTTTCATGATATGTGGTAAATGTAACTTTAGTAGTATTGATAAAAATATAAATAAGCTACTGATAATTCTTTTGAATAACTAAAACTATTTAAAAACTAGAGGATAAATCTCAAGAGATTTAAGTAGTAAAAGAACTGACCGATAACCTTAACAACAATATCGAAGAGGAAAATTAACATTCAACTAAAATTTTCCAAATAACTTATATTGAATAATTCTGTTAAACTAGGTTGATATACTTGTAACTAGTATTGTGTTATTTTTGAAGTTTGGATCAAACGAAAAAAAAAATTAAATTATAAAAATTTTAATTAATAACACTGGGTTATGACATTAGTTATTAATATTAAAGAGTTTTTGAAAGTTATGTTAAGTAAAATTAATATAACACGTTAATTATCTATTAAAAATTCAAAAATATATATATTAACTCAAAAAGTTGTTAAGAAAACTAAAGTATATTTTTCTGGACACTAAAAATGAACTCTTTAATGTGTTTTTTATATATTATTTCTTTGGCGTAGAGTAGAATAAATTTGGAGGTGAATACGAAGCCTCAACTTAAGATAGTTTAGAATTTTAATTGTGTATTTGAGAAAAACCTTTACATTATACTTAGCATTATTTAATCAAGAAGTATATAAAAATAAAATACTCAACGAATTACAATTGTCGATTGATTATTTAAATATATCTATTGTTCATTGAAATTATTGAGGTTTTGTATGTAATTAATTGGATGCTTAGAGTTATGTTTGCCAAAGTCAATAGTATACTTGAGCGGTTACTACGAAACAGATTGTTTCTCTGGGCTCTTAACGCTTATTCTGTTAACATGGTTTTCTACTCATGGTTTTTGCCGTCATTTCTTATCTTGTTTTACACTGTCACCCGAGGCTATTGTATCAACTTTTCTGTATTGTGAAGTGTAGACATTATAAGGGGTAAAATGTTCTTATTTGAAGGATAGGCGATAGAGTTTCCAATGTAAAATTAGTAGTCAGTAACGACAGTAGTGTAGCATTTTCCGACCGCAGTTCAAAGGCGGGTTAATGGCATTAAATTACCTGGCTGCAAAATTGCGGTTTTAGGCTTATAGAAACGAGAACGGGTGGTATGTTTCTAAGGCATATCAGAGGGAGCTTAACCAGGTAATAATAGACGTGAAAGTTATTTTTTCTGCGTTAAAGTTGTCACGCGATTCATCGTGATTTTTGGCAATTCGACAAAATTTAATTGACTACCACTACTCTTCCGACGGTTCGTATTTGTAATAAAAATTCAGTTTTTATACAACCCATATAATCATAACCGGAACCGGATGTAGTACAACTAATTAGTTTCATAATTGTGCACCTGTTGTTATTGCTATTATTACACAAAACATACCGATGTATATTCGTATTGTAAGTATTAAACATTCATTGACACATTATTTTACAATTAGCGTTTTTAAATTTATAATAACTTGTGTAAAGATCTAGAGTTGGGGATGGAGTCAAACTACTTATTTGTGGATAGTAGTTTAGTGTTTAGTGTAATTTAATTTGTTTTATGTGAAATTTCATTATAATTTTTATGTCTACATCGCCTGTAAATGTAAGCTGAGTCTTTATTTGTAATAGCTTAACTAATAACTTAGAGAAAAAAACCAGTATGTGTTACGAGAACGCGCGAATAAAGTGAAACTTCTTTCAAAGTCTTCAACTGATTAAATATTAGGTTTATATTGGAATAAAATCAAAAAATACATCTAAAAATTTTATTTTCAATTGTCATTAATTTAATTATAATTTTTTTATTTCATTTTTACGAAAGATGTAGCAAGCTTATGATAATTGAAATAACTAAGATTTCGATTGGACGTTAAGAAGATATAACATAAAAATTGCATCTATTGTTGTTTTTTACATTTTTTTACATGCAATCAAAATTATTTAAAACTAATTTTTTAAATACATTTTAAATAAGTTTACTTTAATTTTCGAAAATACAGTGTTAAATTACAATATAAAATATAATTCATTACTTACTATTATTAATTTGATTCATAGCAATTACTTATATTATATATATTTAACTATTTATTTATATAAAAAAATCAAATATCCATAAATTTAATTTTAATATATATTAATAATAATAAATATAAAAATAAATCAATAAAATCAAATGACAATATAAAATATAATTTATTATTTATAATATTACTACTATAAATATAAGTAATATTTATATTAATCCTTAATTATTTTTACTTTTTATTTAAATAATATTAATATTAAAATAAGTAAACAATCAATAACAAATAATTAATAAAAATAATGATCAAATATATATTTTATATCACTTTATATATAAATAATAAATATTATTTAGATAAATTATTTATTTAAATATAAATATAATTGAGAATAAATAAAGTATATATAATAAATATTTTTTATATTTGATAATTATTTTTGTTAATTATTTGTTATTGACAAATTCCTTATTTCATAATTAATATAAATTTTTATTTATAATATAGTATTATAAATAATAAATAATAAATTATATTTTTTATTTTTGTTTAATTATATTTATTTAATTTTTAATCTATTCTAATTATAAAATATTGTCACGTTTATGACGGTCGATTATGATGTCTGTGATGCTGACCATA